CGTCGTCTGTTACGAGAACAGTCATGAAAGTTCATTGTACCATATAATACAAAAGTGCATTTTTCCCTTTATGATTGATTGTTGTAACGATAAACTGGAGGAGTAGCTTATTGCCGCCAGCGATAATATTCTCTATTGAGCTGCTTCATGTGTCTAGAATGTGTTTATCGCACATTCAATACAAGTTTATACTTAAGAGAGATGAACACAGGAAAGAGAAAATGATAATATCAGTGAGTGAGTGAGTGATATCAATATCAACACAATAGTCGGGTATGGTTTGTTACATCGCAATTTCGAAAAACAGCAACAATCATTGAATTTATTCCATTATAGAATGTCATCGTTGTTATTAATTTCTTTTTCTAATTAGAATTATAATAATTTTCATATTTCTGTCAATGTGTCTCCAACTCTGTCTGCTCTATAGCTCAAAAGACTCCTGTGAATTTCTCCATATGGTAAAGATTCTATTGTTTTCTATGGTAAAAGTAAAAAAGTGTGCTGAAGGACGCCGTTTATCCCCGAGCGAAAAGCATCAATTTATAAATTGTACAATTTATTAGATGTATAAAATACATTAAAAATGATTTTATTGTTTTTTACATAATAATTTAATTTTAAATATAAATTCTGATAGTTTACATTTAAAATAAAATAAAATAAAATCATAATGTAAAAAAAACATAGTTTCTTCTTAAATTTAATTTATTTTTAAATATGAATGGTTTATTCATAGGTAAGAATGATCAGAAGAATTTTTCTCAAAAAAAAAAAGTTTTCTATTCAATTCTATCAAACTAATTTTATAATCTCCAAAGAAATTTTGTTATTCATATCAATATCTGAAGAAATTTTCAGAGCAATTCAATAAAATAGAACCTTGGAATATTTATTGATATGTAGTTGATTACTTGATTATACGATTTAATTTGACTTGGTGATGAGTGAGTTACATTATATGCATTTGAATCTAACTTTCCTCTTAATATTTTTTAATTTAGATTTATTTCAAATCAAGCAATGCATAATATTACAACGCGTCGTCGTCATTGTTAATTGTACTTTTATCTTGCTTTAAATTTTCATCGTTTTATGTGGGTGGTTGTTGACCACAAACTAGGGTTATCATGTTCCATAACAACCATCAAGCACATCTTTAGAACGGATGTACATGACTACAACAACACTAAATTTCATTGACATTATAGAACTTTTTTGAGACAAAAAATTAGATATGACACATCCTTATAACTAAAAGAAACTAACCATACAGCATGTTCTATAAGAGAAAAAGAATCATTCACATAATTGTGTATATTTTTTTTACACATACTCTTGCGTTCTTGCTCAACACAGGCTTGTATATATATATTTTATAGCTGACGTATAGTTAAAAAATGGTATACTCCGTTAGTCGTCACGGTTGGTTTCACATGATGATGATGTACAAGCGTTTCATCGCACGACTCTGCAATAGAATATAAAATGATGAATAACATTACGCCAATTCTCGTTATAATTGTATGACTCTTGTGTATCGATTATTACTATCTTCAATACGTAAGTAAAGTTATTAATCAACTGGGATCATAAACGAATTATTACACTAATGATATGGATATTTTTTTTCCAAATGTTAATGAAATTTGTTTTATTTTTCAGGAAAAATGTTGAGACAATACATGCAATGGATTCTTTAATTCATGCTTGTATATCGAACAAAAACGGTACATTAGGTAGCTACTAAGATCCTTGAAATAGTCTAAAAGAAAAATAAGATATTTTACTGAACGTCCCCAAAAGAAAAAAGTTTTTAATTCCATAAAAAAACTGCTGAACTTATGAAGACTTTGTAATTGTGTACGAAATCTAAAAAAGTTCTTTTCCGAACATATCCTCAGTAACAGACCATAATTTTTTTTCTAGTGTGTATTACATCCAAATTGAGGATACATGGATGATGATCGTGTCTTTACTCACACTCACACCCATCACCATCCATGTATGGATAAGAATCAGAGAGCGGAGTCAACCATTTTGTATTCGAAGGTTAAAAATATATTCTTGAGCATAAGCACTACGTGAGCATGAACACTGAAAATAATATAATAAATTAAATGCATTTTTGACAAGTTTACGAAGGGAAAACAAGAAGGTCATAAGACGATATACTGTAACGAAAGAACAAGATAGTATTAGTTTTTGATCGTAGATCGTATGTCTTTATGATTAATAAGATTTATTGAACTGAAAGAGCAATAGATTATATAGCCATAAACATGTGAAAAGATTGAATCATATATTACATAGTATATTTTTGATCAGTGATATTATCGAATAAATATGTTAAACAAAAAAATTTGATTAGATTAAACTCTATTCTCAAGAATCCATAGGATAATCATTGAGTACCAAAATGTATTATACATATATAGTGATTACGAATTTACAACTGATTTCTCAACAACAACTGTAAGTCTTACATTTAAGACGATATTATAATACCGATAGTATTTGATTAAAGAAATGTTTGATCAACAAACTGAAAAAATGAATTAATTATATCAGTGTGTAGCTAAAGCTATTTTTTACCATATGTAAACAGTTTCATGTGACAATAAAGTTTATATCGTATGAGATATTATTTAAGAATGTTTTATATGTTTTTTTTTTTTAATGTGAAATAAGTTTCTCTTTCTAAAAAAAGAAACCAAGATCATACGCGATTAGAATTATTCCTTTTACTTGATTCTTTTTTGCTGAAATGATTATTATCATTCATCTGTCTATATAAAATCTAAAATATGAAGAAAATGAGTCGCATATGTGTCTAAATAACTATTGTTTTCCTTCGGCATCAAACTCTATGGTTTTTAATAGAAAATAAAAATGTAATACGATTTGATTTTTTAGGTATAGTCGTCGTATTTAATTTTATTACTTAAATATACATCAGTATATCACCTATAAATTTTTATTTTATTTTCATTTGAATTAGTTGACTGATCATATTTATATTAGAACGTTAAGGTACAAGAAAAATTTCAAAACTAGACTTATCATGTAATTAGTGATATTGATCGAAAGACAATTAAGAATATGCTGAGAAATAAGAGTACTCAAACAGTTCACTATCTTATTATTATTCTTTCTTGATAATATAGCAATCTTGTATTCTTTCTCTTACCTGTTTGTTTTTTCATTCTCTTCTCTTACGGTCGAGTCGTGCTATTCTAGAGATCGTTGTATTTTATATGAGATGAACATAACTAGAATGATGAAATCGTGTTTAGTTAACATCTATACAGAGAGTATCAGTAACATTACTCTTTCAGTTTCTCATTAGATATGAAAAATTAAGTTGAAGTTACCATACTGATGAAATAATTCATCTAAAAGTTTATTACAAAGAGTATTCCGATTTGAACTATATCCACTGACAGTCTGTCAGAGGATTTTCATTCTAAATCATGATTTGTAGAATTACCCATGTTATTTTTTTCACATCTCACATATAATATTTGTAATCATTCTTAGTAATGATGTTAACATGACTGTTACAAATCAGACAGAAGCTTCTGCAACACTTGCTCTTGTGATATAGAAGAGATTGACAGTGACAGTGAAGGTGAAAGGTAGTGTCAGAGTGGAGATTAAGGTCTCTTCCTTCCCCCTTAAAAATCGATTTTGCGTCAGGTACATTCAAATTATCTGCCGTTTGAAAAATATGTTAGAACTGTAGTGAAGAAGCCGTGATAAAATTTTCAGCTCTATAGCATGATGTTTGTTAGGGATATTCATCAAACAAGAATCAAAGTATATCTCATTTGACAAACCAAATTTCTCCGTCCAGGTTCATTCTATATATTTAGTTTCTTTTTTGTTTAAAACAGCATGTCAAGATACAGTGCAGTACAGAGTCCTTTTGTTTTGTAAATTCTTACTTTTTAAGCAGAGAAAAAGTATGACAAGTTCAATGATTCAAAAAAATTCTCTAACAATATGTATCTATGTATATAAGTGTTTGTGTATATAATAAAGACAAATCTTCATTAAAAAATAAAAATTCTGTACTACATTGCACATTGACATCCTTTCTTTCGAACAAAAAAAAAATTAAATATATAGAATGAGGGTTTACAGAGAATTCTGGGTTGTGCGATCAAAAAAGTATAAACAGAGAAAAAATGAAAAACTTTCCCCACTTTTTTTTGTAAAAGTAGCTTGTTATTCAAGCAAGTGACGACAGAAATCATCCAAATTTTTGGCAAAGAAAAAGAGTATTGAATGAAAAAATCATGTCATTTATGAAAAATTATGCCTCAGGCTATCTTCTCATGCATTTATCTTAATTTTCATTTTTTTCTGACGAAAATTAACTTTTTTTGAGAGTGAGAAAGAACGTCCTAATATGAGGATGAGAGCGAGCTCTATATCTAATATCACTACTTTTCTTATTAGTTTTGATTGCTCATAGTTCTAAACAAGAGCCGTAGGAAAGAAAATGTCGTGAGAGCAAGTGTCTTGGGGTCAACTGTCGTTCATTCGGTAATTATATGTATTCAATGATTTTATACCTTCATCTATTTCTTTACTCATACATTTTAACACATCAATATTATAGTAGAGAGTAGAGAACGATACGGATATCGTCGAAGTGAATGCTGTATTAGAATTCAAACAGATATTTAAAAAAAAGCAGATGAAGACAAATGAAGTGTGATGATCAGTTATCATTGTATTATGAATACAAAAATATGAAAAGAAAATAAAGTGTATATTGTTTTGATGAATAACTATATTTGAACTTGGATAAATTTAGTTTATATTTTGTGTTCAATATATCAATTGAATTGAATAAATGTCAAGAAATTACAACTATAAACTTCATTGTTGTTGGCATCCATTCATTCATATATTATTTGTAAATATTTATTAATTCAATTCAGTTTCTTTTTCAGATATAACTTTCCAAGCGGTCAATAAAGAAGAAAACGATGGCAAGCAGTAACAATAATACTAGTGCAATAAGTCGATTTTTTAATGGAAAATCGGTGTTTATTACCGGTGCAACTGGTTTTATCGGGAAACAAATCATCGAAAAATTATTACGATCATGTCCAGGTTAATTAGTAATATATTGTCTATTGACTTTAGATGTCTTGTACTTCGATAATGTTTTCTAACTAAGATAATTGATTGCGTATTCTTCTCCATAAGAGATTTTTTTTTCAATGAAAAAGATTTAGATAATAACAATTGAATTTTAGGTATTGACAATATTTATATTCTCATACGATCAAAACGTGGTGCTCACGTTCATGAACGAGTTCAACAATTGTGTTCACTTGCTGTAAGTAATATTTAAAAATAATTTACAAGTTAATCGTATTTTGTTAAGCTATTCGACAAAGTTCGTTTGTTAACACCTAATTTCAAATCAAAAATAATTCCAATTATCGGTGATTTAACAAAGGCTAATCTTGATCTGACTAATGAAGATGAACAAACATTGATCGAACATTGTCACATTATTATCAATTCAGGTGCATCAATTCGATTTCATGAGCCATTAAAGTAAATGCCTCAGAAAAAAAAAGTTAAATAGAAGAAATAAAATATTTCTTTATTTTAGACAATCAATTAAGGCAAATGTTTACTCAGTTCAAAATATAATTAATTTATGCAAAAAAATGAAACAACTACAGGTTAGCAAATTGCTTACTTCTTATGATATTATAATAAAAAAAACAAACAACTTTATTATTTTGAATTTGAAAAAGATTTCATTTTTGATTTCAGTCATTTGTGCATATATCAACTGCCTATATTCATTGTTATCGTACAGATATGACTGAAGTTATTTATCCTATGAACGATAATCCAAATACATTATTGGAATCACTAGAATACTTTGATGATCAAATGTTTAATCATCTATCGGAAAGATTAGCAAAACAATATCCAAATAATTATGCATATACTAAATCCTTAGCAGAATATCTCTTACTAAAGCAAGGAAATAATTTACCTATTGGTAAAAATATTCAATCTATCATATTTCAATTATTTACTTTTTTTGTTTTTTATTTTAGCAATAGTTCGACCATCAATTGTTGGCGCAGCATGGAAAGAACCAATACCAGTAAGTTTAGCGTATTAATAATGTAATTGTAGGAATGCCTGACTTTTTATATTGTTGCTAGGGATGGATCGATTCTTATACTGGTGTTACAAGCATCATAGCTGCAGTGAGTTTACTTTTTTTTTAAATCTATATTTCGTAGGAGTATTTTTATCATATAGATTGGAAAACGTTTGATTCGAGTAGCGTTCACTAGCCCGACAGTTGATCTTCCAATAATACCAGTCGATGTTGTAGCCAATATGACCGTGGCTGTTGCATGGATTACAGCCACTAACAATAATTTGTATGTTAAATAAGTAACTGAGAAATTATTCTTTTTCTTCATTCTTTTTAGATTATCAACACCAACTGTTTATAATTGTTGTACGGGAAAAAATATCAAAACATATTTAACCGTTGAAGATTTCTGTAAGTATATTTATATGATATTAATAATTAATGCAAACATAGATTGTATATTCAGTTCGAATACTAGCAACAGAAACAACGGCGATTGGATTCGAGAACTATAGCATTATTGGGCCATCTGTTACAACTATTACGAATAAGTATATTTCATTTTTTTTTACGTATACTTATCCTTTCGATAGAGTCAGATATATTGAAAAAATTCTTCGTGGTCTCTATTCAAAACATGTGAGAAAGTTTTTTTCTTAACTATTCAGTTCATATTTGAATGCCATACTTTGATCTCATTTTTATTTTTCGGCTAGAACACTTTATATTATTTAATCGCATCTATTAAATCATAGAACTACAGTGATCGAAAAAATTCAAACGTTAAAGAAAAAGACAATAGACAACTGTTTTTTTTTCCTCTGTATATGACACAGAGATATACGATCATAATATTGATTCATCTAAACCGGTGTATCTATTCGTATACGATGGTTTACGAGTACACTTGTTTTATCTAAGCGATTGAAAAAAATTAGTATAAAAATAGTCTCATACACCAGGTTTTTAATGAGGTGAAATAATGTTTGAATGAATTTTGAGCTTTCTAGTGGATATTTGCTCAAGAATTTGTTTGAAAATAGTCACATGTTTTACTTAGAATTTTGTTGAGATTAATAATTAATTTAGGCCATATTATTGTTTCCGATATTACACTGATGAAGTTGTACCTGCATATATGATGGATATTATTGCTTACTTGACATTCAAAAAGCCAAAGTAATCAATTAATTGAAACTAGAAATTTTGATATATATTCACAATGAGTGGATCTTTTAGAATGGTGAAATTGCAAGAAAAAATCTCTTATTTAAAGCTTTCTCTGGAATATTTTGCTCAGAATCAATGGATTTTTGCAAATCAAAATAGTCAATTATTACAAAGTCAAATGAATGACTTTGATAGACAAGTAAATTATGAATATCACTGTCATAGAATTCATTAATGTGATTAATTTATTTCAGGAATTTAGTTTCAATTTAACTGAATTAAATTGGCCATCTTATATTCGAAATTATTGCATTGGAATAAAAAAATATTTATTGAAGGAAGATTTACAACAATCATCTATTAAAAAATCATCTAAATATTCATTTATTAAAGCAAAGTATGTATCATATTTAATTACCTGTCATTGTTCAAATCAATTCATTTTGTAGAAAAATTCGTCATCTTCTATCAATATTGTTCTTTTTTGCTGTAACATGGCTCATGCGACAAACATTTCTAAGAAGATTACGGTAAAAATTAGAATTTGCTTACTTTTTATCTTTCGATTAATAAAATATTATATTTAGGATAATATGGAGAACATTAAATCTGATTATTCGTAGTTATTTACAGCAAGATAAAAAGAAGATTATTTGTTCTCTTAATTAAAGTTTTATTTTGAATAGAGAAACTTTTTTTTTTTTTGTGCTTGATTTTTTCACATCTAATAAATATATATCAAGCTTCATGTGTTAGGTATGGTAGATGTTATACAAAATGCTCAATATTGCCTATGAATATAAACTAGAAATTTTTGATATTTTCAAATAGATTTTAGAAGATATGAAAATCATCAAACAAAATCATTATCCTTTTGTAGCTACAATTTTTGTTTTATCAAAATTTTCATTTGAACAAAAATGTACAATATTGCTAGACATTTGTATTATGAAAGCATGTCAAAACGTCTACTAGAAAATGGATGAACCAGAGCTGTCCATCGTGACGGCCTTGGCGGTGATGGCTTGTCACATTTTTTTTCTGTTGGAGGACATGGAAAAATTGTATGAATTTTTGTAACACATATGTAACATTCGGAGATTCGATGAATTTTATGAATCGGTAATAACAGTTCTTGTTCAATCCTAAACCGAGTAGTTTTAGAAAAGTTTCGTCGTTGAATTTAGACTAAATCTAAAACAGATATAGTTATACTAAAAATTAAAAATAAAATATTATTAGTCAAACAGAATAATAATTAAGGAAACAATCGTAGATGATATTTAAAATTTATCATCAATATCAAGGTTCAAAATTATTGTAAATCAAAGTTTTTGTTTAAAGAAAAAATTTAAAAAACACAACAAAATTCAACTATTAGATGAATTAAAATAGAACTAGAATAATTTTTTTCATTAAAAGAAGTGAATATAAATCATATGTTTCAATTATATCAAATGAATCTCGTTTCGAGTCTTCATCAAGCAATACTGACTTTATTACTTATCTATAATGATTTGAATTTGTTTTAATATTCAAGTAAATAGTTTATGTTAAACATCAACTATCGAAAGATCATCAATGATATTTTTTCTTGACATAGAAGCCTGAAATTTTTATTATCTATATCTAACTAAAATATTTAAGTTTCAAAAGTTTCCACTTTCTAGTTAAAACTAGTGCTAAAATGCATGAATTTTCGTACTTGATTTTTGTAAGTTTTTCAAAACTCATCATTTATATCTAGAATCCTTCAGATTTAATTGCAAATTTTATTTTAAATATCAATCAATTATGAAAACAGAAACGATTTTTTAAAGTTTTGTATTGAATTTAGAATATCAAAAAAAAAAATCCGAGACTTTGGTTGCATGGTTGGTAGTACAATTATTTTATAAACAGGCAGAACCAGCAGAAAATAACGCTCTATTTTGATGATGTATGAAGAGAATTGAAAATGCGTAACGTGTCCTGAAAGAAAACGTCCGTAAAACGTTTTTTACATACTACAATAGTTAACAAAAGAAATTACAAAATAATCTATGAAATTTTCTAAAAAACAAAAGGTGAAAAAATGATGAAAGAAATATCATATCGATTACATCTGATCATAGAAAGTAACGGAGAACATGTTCATACACATTGAGTTTTATTATAACTTACTTTTTCTGAAAAATATTGTCTTATAAAGTTGCTTTGCATCAGGCTTTTATAAATATCACAAAAATCAAGTACGTAAATTCATGTATTTCAGCACTAATAGTTTTAGCTATAGAGAGCTGAAACTTTGGAAATCTAAAGATCTTGTTTAGATACATATGTAATAAAAATTTCAACTTTCCCACATAAAGAAAGTGTACGAAAAATATTATTGATAATTTAGCGTCAGTTATTATGGGATAATATTTATATATATGAATTATACATGATTTGCTGTTGTTAATTCTCTTATAATGAACGATGATTGCTTATTAAAAGTTTTTCTATCTCAATATTCACCTTGCTACATCAATTCTCTCATTAGTTTTTATCTGATATCATGATCAACTAATATATATTCATACTGTTTGTTACCAAGTGTCTGGATTTGTATATCGAAAAATAGCGATACTCAGTACTAATATTTGATAGATATCATCGTAAAATACATTCGAATTCATTATTACGTACATAAAAAGGAAATATTTATATATTAGAATAGTGATTCCTCTTTGAGTCAAAACTTTTGATAATAAATAGTCAATAAAAAAAAACAATCAAATGATCATGAAGTGAATTACTTTGAATGTCGATTAAACTTGTTTAGAATAAACTTTTCTAAAAAGCTTGGTCTATGGTCTTTACAATCATTCTTTCTTTCAATAGATACCGAATTGCAATATCTATTAACTAGAAACAGACAATAATGCACTAAGTATGTTTAACGACAATAGTAACTATATTCGATAATGGTTATTTCTCTTTTTCATAATATTGTAATTTTCATTATCTCTCCATTTGCTAAGATAAATATCATAATTTGTATCATTGTTGAAATTTTTGAAAATTATGTCTCATATGACTTTGAAAAAAAAAGAATCAATAATTTCTGTATTCGAATAAGATGAATTTCAAAAACAAAACTAATTTCTTATCAAATGTGCATTATAAATGCATTTCTTTTCTGTTCTATTTTGGTTATTCATCAGAAACTATCGTCCCCCTCATATAGTTGTCTTATCATCTCATTTATCATCTTCAAATTTATTTAAAACAAATATGTATAAAATGATTCAAGGCAAAATATAATTTGACAAAATAAAAATTAATGTCTATCGTATATCTAAATGTTAACAATTGACCTGATTGATTCCACGTTGTTTCTTTCTAGTCAAATGTAGACATTCAATATCGATAAAAGATTAATTTGCATTAGTTTTGAACTATCAAATGTATTTTTTAATTGAAAACCGAGCATATAAGAAAAATTTTTAATTATTGTGCGATCCATTCTTTAATATTTTAAAGATCAAAGAGGACTTTTGATTTTTTATATGTTGGTTCTAGCTTTATTAATTAATTATTATTGACAATTAAAACATACGCTCTAATTAAGCAACAAAAATTTCAATATAATATAAATATTTCAAAAATAGAATAAAAGTAACTATTAGTATGTTGAATATTAATGAAGAAAATAAAAAATAATGTTCCTCATATTTTAGTGTGCATGTCCATTAGTGATATTTGGTGTTGTTTCTTCATCATCTGGTTTCCATTGGACCTGTGGTGGAATTAATTTTAAATTGACACGGTCTGCATATTTTGTTGACAATTGAATAAGTGATGCAATTGTTTCATTTGATAATAATGTTGGTTGAAGACCCAATGAACAAAGATTTGTATTAATACAATTATAATAATGAACTTCTTTTTCTGTTCGTGGATTTTTTATATGTGCTATTTTACATTTAAGATTAAATTGATTTTCGGATACTTGTTGAACAAGTTGAGCTAATTGTAAAACAGAAAACATTTCTGTAAATTGATTAAATACACGATATTCGCCAAGTTTAGCTGGGTTTTCACATGCAATTTCTATGCATTTAACTGTATCACGAATATCAATGAATGATCTTGTTTGACCACCTATGCCATAAACTGTCAATGGATGGCCAAGTGCAGCTTGAATACAAAAACGATTGAGAACAGTACCGAATATATGATCATAATCGAAACGATTAGCCAATATTGGAGATAAATCAACTTCAGCAGTACTGTAACCATAAACAATACCTTGATTTAAATCTGTTGCACGCAATTTCCATGTTCGGCATGTAAAATTAATTTGATCACTATCACTCACCTTTGTTAAATGATAAAATGATCCAGGTTGTTTTGGATATGGTAGTCGATCTGATCGTCCATTATATTCAATATTAATAAAACCTTCTTCGACATCAATATTTGGTGTACCATATTCACCCATGGTACCTAATTTAACAAGATGAGTATTTGGAGAATATTCATGTAATGCCCATAAAATATTCATATTTCCTACAGTATTATTAATATGAGTTCGAATAGCATGTTCATGATCAATCATTGAAAAAGGTGCTGATCGTTGTTGAGCAAAATGAACTAATGCATCAAATTTTGGTTCACAATTAATTATTTTACATATTTCAGAATAATTAGTAACATCAACATTAACAAAATGAATTTTTTTTCCTGTTAAACGAAACCATTCTTGTATGCGTTCATCAATTGTACAAATTGGTACAAGTGAATTTAAATTATGTTCAAAATCCCATTCTCGACGAATAAGATTATCGATTATGGTTACATCATGATTACGTGCAGATAAATGAAGAGCTGATGCCCAACCACAATAACCATCACCACCAGCTATAAGAATTTTCATCTATGCAAAGAAAATTTTATGTTAAATCTAATGCTAATATTATACTGTCGAAATCGATTGTTACAATATTCACAAATTGGTTGTGCAATACTGTATATTAGGCGCATAAAAATTGTCATCATTTTATTTGCAATATGACTATGATAAATATTATTTAGAATGTGATCGTAAGTATGTAGATCGATATTTTCTCTTCTCCCACACCTACACCTTGCATTTACGAGAGAATTACCTGAAGTAATTTATTAATTTTAAGTTTCTATTTTGGGTATATAGAGAGACGATCTAAGTTAAAATAACGCCAAAAAAAAAGAATTTGACTCCATAAGTTTTCTTTACAACGTTACAGTAGTTCTACTAAATTTTTATTCAAAGACATAGTATTGACAGAAAAAAATGAATAACGAACTTTATAACTTGAAATATTATCTGTAGGAAAAAAATGTAATTTGTTTTATTATTATTACAGATAATATTTCAAGTCAACAATTAGTTGCTTAATTTTTTTAGTAATATCAAGCCTTTTAGTAAAAAGGACCTAATCAAAAAAGCATGGAATTTTCTGCACTCTCGAAACATCATAAAATGGAAGTACCTTAAGAGTGTATAACTACCCTGATATCTGTTTGCTGAGATTTGATCCCTTTTCTGGATACAAAATATATATAATGTTGAGTGTGTCGGTGCCCAGGTCAAAGGTCATCGAGCGGAGTTTATCATGCTCGAGAGAATTCTAGAACCTTCTAAGCTTCCTAGAATCTTTAATAGAGTATCAGAGGGCTATAGAAGATTCCATAACGTCTTGAAAGGTTCTAGAATTCTCTTGAGCGCGATAAACTCCGCTCGATAACCTTTGACCCGGGCACAGACACACTCAACATTATATATACAGGGTGTCCCAAAAGTAAGGGAACAAAAAAAGAATTGAATATCTCCATTACGGTTTGAGCAAACAAGCTGATTTTTTTATCAATGATAGAGGTCTGTTCAAGCTTTATATCCATAAACACATGCCTAGAGGGACCCTTTGTTAAGTATCACCTAGTGATCTCAATAAAAAAAAATACTTTTTCACAGATAGAAAAAAACAATATGCTTAACGCAGGGTCTCGCCAGGCATATCTTTATGAATATAAAGCTTGAACATTCCTCTATCATTGGTAAAAAAATCCGCTCGTTTGCTCGAGCCATAGTGGAGATATTCAATTTTTTTTTAGACAAAGTGACGTTTGCGCCACTCTGTATATTGTTTTTTCTCATCTATGAAGAAGTAAATTTTTTTTTGTTGAGATCACTAGGTGATAGTTAACAAAGGGTCTCTCTAGGTATGTCTTTATGGATATAAAGCTTGAACAGACCTCTATCATTGATAAAAAAATCAGCTCGTTTGCTCAAACCGTAATGGAGATATTCAATTTTTTTTTTCTGTTCCCTTACTTTTTGGACACCCTGTATTTTGTATCCAGAAAAGGATCAAATCTCAGCAAACGGATATCAAGGTAATTATATACTCTTAAAGTACTTTCATTTTATGATATTTCTAGAGTGCAGAAAATTCCATGATACTTTTATCAGGTCCTTTGGCAAAACTATCGTAGATTTCTAAAGAAAACTTATGGATCCAATTTTTTTTCGCATTATTCTAGTTTAGAGCTTCTCCGTATATGTTCAAAGGCAGTGAATCATTTCTGATAGTTCTTAACAAAAGTTATCGATTGATGTGTAAAGTGGCTCAAGAAGATAGATTACGAGATAATCAAAACATGAGAAACAGAACTCAATGAAAAGTATCCATACGATCTCTATAGATGATGTCTAATCATAGAATTAAGATGCTTTAAAAAACAAATACAGTTTATATGAATCAGGTCAATTATATGTTCCTAAAAGATGCCCCTCTCATTAATTTTCTCGCTAATTAGTCCTTCGAAAAAAGGTCCTTTGATATATTATTTCATACACAAATGCTCTTGGCAAAAATATCATCGACGACATTACCCATGAAAAAATTTCCTTCACGTTCACATGTCCTTGTAAGAAAAAAAAATATCAATATATTTTGATAATGATATTGATGAAATAATGTTTTCACCCTCGATGTTTTTCATTTACAACAAAATATAAAAAGTTTACATGAATTTGACATAAATGTTTTATGTGTTTTTTGACATTTTTCATGAGTTTTTTAAGTTTGTTATTGAAATTTAATGAATTTTGGTTTTGTTTTCCATCAAAATTTATTTCTTCAATTTTTTATAAGATTATTATAAGATACACAAACTCTAGGAAAATAATAGAGAATATAGAGGGCATTTTGATTAGATACATTTTTTACAAGAACACTGCTAAAATAATATCTACAGATGAGAATAATTTGTCAACGACACATATCCAAAGGCATTTGTGAGAATACATTTTTTTTCAAGGATATTTATAACCAATACTAATTATATATGAAACGTACATGATAATAGAAAATGTCAGTGTACCCCAGCAGTGTCCAAGGACTGAGAAATAGGAATTCCTAATTTGTAGTGGAATTGTCAGTGTAGCTATGATAATTCCTTGGGGAAATGGGAATTGACCATTATTTCCATCACAGTTCCCTCATTCATGAAAGTCAAGATAATGCTTTTTTTGCAATAATTTTCGTACTCATACGTTCATGTGCACAAATTTCTTGATGAAAACGAGTGTAAGAGTAATAAATACCGTGGATATTGTATTTTTTTAATTTTAGCATTCAATGAAATGTCAGGGAACTGAGTAGGAATTCCTATTCCTCAGTCCTTGGACACTCCTCGATGTACGTCTATGTTTACCATCATTTCAATTGTACAAAGATATTATTTTTGAAGAATATGACATGATATATATTGTTGGTCCAAATATTCTTTTAGGTACTATTATTCTTTATTTAATTTGTAAATTAATGAGTATTATTGTTTGTACATCTTATAATACAAATTCATTTGCTTTTTTCAAGGAATATTGTAAAAATCGTTTTTTACACACATTAGTTGTGTGGTGGGGTATTTATTGTATGTATTATCCACCAATATGGTTGGAAATACAGATTTTACATCCTAAATATTTCATGGACCTCAAGGTTGGTTGTAATAATTTTGATCAGAGATATATTCTATCAACAGGTATTGATACGAATTTATTTCAATATTCTGAAAATTTTATTAAAAATAAATTGATATATATTGGACGAATAACATCAGAAAAAAATTTATTTCGATTAATTGATTTATTTACATTAATTCAAGATGAATACACTCTAGATATTGTTGGTTTTGGTCCAACTGTTGAAGATGCATTAAAATTGTATGTTAAAGAAAAACAAATAAAAAAATATTCAATTTATTGATCGAATTGATTATGAGAATTTATATGAATATTATCAAAGTGCACAGGCATTTATATGTACAAGTTTAAATGAATCATATGGTTTTACATTACTCGAATCATTGTCATGTGGAACACCTATTATCTATCCAAAATGTCCCGTATTTGAGCAATTATATAAAACATATTTTCCTCAGTTAGAATATGATCTAGATAATGACAATGAATTTATCAATGTACTCAAATATATTAAACAAGATGATAAAAATTTGTGACAATTATGTCGAGGATATGCTTGTCGATATTCATGGAAAAAATCAACAGAAGATCTTGTTTCAATTTATCAATATCTCATAAATAATCATGAAAGAAAAACATTTTAGTCACATATTAGAATTATTTTATCTATTAAAATATCATATTTACTTTTGATAATTTTCATGTTTTGAATACAATTTTTATTAATCTTTCAAATTTTATATTTGTTATTCTTCGAAAATATTTTCTTTCCAAATTTTTTTGACTAACTATATTAGATTTTTGATATAAAAGTACTTGAAAAGTTTTAATAAAATTATATAACTACACTTTATAACTTTGAATTAATGTTTTTGAAACTAGAAGAATGTGGAGTGTTGGTTGTTGATGCTGCCACATCGACACACCTATATTCTTAAGATTGATTTTGGCTTAAAGACATAATTTCATTTAGTAGAAATCATCAAGTTTAATCAATTGAGAAGCATCCAATTAGATGTCATGCGATTGAGATTTAAATTGATTTCAAATTTAAATTTGAATATAAATCAGATAATTGATAATAATCTTGAAAAAAAACCATATGTGTTCAAATGATTATCGAATTAAAATTAAATATAATTGAATTTTTTTTCAGAAAAAAACCCTGAATGGGTTGGTTTATTATCGAAAAGATCGTTATTTTACTTGAATATTTTCTATTGAAATGAAGAGTGAAAATTTATATGCTAGTAGATACATGACTAAATACTTAGGTAGATAAATAAATGGGACCATTTATGTACAAGTGAGAGAGAGAGAGACCGACAAATATATATGTGACGGTTATACTAATGCCTATTTCCAAAAAAGGTGTAGTGTATATATTTTGAATAACTTCTGATGGAACAGAGATGCAGAGTTGCAGTTTTCATCGTTCGAAAGAGGAGACAAAGATGCATCGAATCGTAAGTTATACAATTTTTTATAAGGTTTTCAATAGATCTCTTTGAAAACTAATCTAGTCCGTGATGTGTGTACAACAAATTTTCAATTGTTAAGAGTATTTTCGAATCGCCAATGGAAGATCCACAAAACTGTACGATTTTCAGATGTTTAGAATTAATCATTTAGGAGTTATAGGTATTCTAGTCGAAGTTCTAAGTGATTTTTTCTAGTCATTTCTGTGAAAAAAGTTTGTTTGGTATTTCTTTTTTGATAAAAAAAAAAGATTTTTTTTTCACACTTACAAAATTGATTAAACAGACTTTAAACCACATACTAGGACAACTTATAATATACGATTCGATGCATCTTTGTCTCCTCTTTCGAGCGATGAAAACTACAGCTCTCTATCTCTTTTTTATCAGAAATTATTCAAAATATATCCACTCCACCTTTTTTGTAAATAGGCATTAGTATAACCGTCACACATGATAGAAACATAGATGTTATCGAAATTTTATTATTATGATATTACTTGAGGAATGATGTAATAGCACAGAAAAATAGAGAGTCGTTTTTATTACAAGTTCATATAGAGAAAAAGTTCCTTCAAGCTTTTAATAAGGAATTACAGTACCACTGCCATTAATTTTGGGTAGTCCATCAGTGAAAGAGATTTTTTTTAAGCAAGAGCAATATTCTTCGATTTATTCTATCGGAACGATCAGGTTGTTATGAAATCAGGCTCTTCTAGTAGGTATATACCAACTGTATATCGTTAGAATTCAAGAAGCGCTCAAATAAATCTTTCAAGATATACAACAAGCAGATAATCCAGACTTAAAAATTAATAGTCATTTAAGATTTGCCATGACCTGAACACACTCGCATGCACACCCGATATATTTTTCTTAATAAAATGAATTTCTTGATTCAATATGATCTCAACGATATACACGTCATTTCTATATACTTTTAATAATAAAGTGAATTTACTGACAGAACGCAAGATAACTTAGAAGTTTTGTCCCTTCAGTCGAATGAGTTGAGTTTCATCAGAATTATAGATCATCAGAATTTAATTTAGATACTTGTGATCGTATTTTTTTAAAACTTTTATCATTCATTGCAAAATCATGTGCAGAAATTTCTATGTCCTGTAGATTAAAATTTACCATACCCTCAATTTGTTGAACCTGTATTGAACTTCGATACTCCATTAAATATGGCAATGCCTAATAACAATCAATACTGTCTGAAAATATATCTATATAGTTTAGTAGACAATTTATATGCTATGTAAGAAACACTTTAATTCTGAACAAAACTTTGTATGAATTTGTCATAAAGCCAAAAAAAACTGTTCACAAAATGTCTATATGCCATTGAAATATTTTTTCAAGACAATATATGATATTGATTTTCCTAATATTAAACACATTATTTAATGAATAGGTTTTGTTCATTTACTTTTGGAGCTGGAAAAGTCTCTTGTTTTTGTGCTTCGGAAACTGCATGACGAGCAAATGACCACCAATCCTTGTAATATGCTGAATTATCAATTTCAGCTGTTGAATTGATTTCGTTCGGTAAAAGAAGCGCTTCTAAACGAGTACCATAAGATGGAATAGCACAGAATATAGCTACATCGCCAGCTCGATCACGTATTTTTCTATGTGATTCAAAACCATTTTCGGGATATATTAAAATATCTTCGAAAGCTAGAAATGTTTTCAAACGACATGCATAAGTAACAGTAGTGGAAAATATGGAACGCCATAAACGAGTTTTTCCATTCACAATAGTAAAACCCCCGTCGTTTTCATTCATATGCAATGTACAACGATCTGAATTATCGGTTTGTTGAACAAAGCAAGGATTATGACTAAAAAAAAATTCAATTGTATCAGAAAGCATATCTACTTCAAATATATAATCATCTTCAAGTAAAAATAGAATTGTATCTAATTGAATTTCTTCATTATATTTTATATAATTTATCATAAATTCCCATGACGCTTGATTATCATCTTTTATACGAATGATATGTGTTACGCTTGTATATGGTTCATAAATACTTTTAAACCATTGTTCTAATCGTGTATACGTAAGATTTGTATAGTTTTCACTAAGAAAAATAGCTATTCGTGTTCGACTTTGTTGTTGAATAGATAATTGTTGTAAATTTTGTGAAAGTAAATATGATGTAGCTATTTGTAGATATAATCCACTTTCATCATCTACTCGTGGTGAATAACGTAATAATAGATAAATATTTTCTAAAGTAATCGTTCTGTTATGAGAAAAGAATTGATTATTATGATTATTTAGTTGCAATGGTTCTAATGAATGACTTTTTTGAGAGAATGATTTGCAATTATTATAGACGTCTTGTTTAACAAGATCAGATATTGATTTGAGTCGATTTTGAAATGTAAAAGGTATCATAGGTTTAGTGATTAACATTGAATTAATAGAAGTAGAAGAACGTAGCGGCCAAAATTTCAAACGAGATAGAATCATGCAAATGACGCAGTTGAAGAAAATTAACACCATAATAGCACTTTTCATGCGTATTCGCTTGAAAGATATTCAAGGAAAAGAAAATTGTTTAGAATAAATTAGATCGAAAATTCTTTTTTTTAAATTTTTTTAAAAATTAAACGAAGCTTATCATTTTTCCAAGATACTTCCAAATTTTTGAGAATGAAAACATGATCTCTATATTTCTCTTTTCAAAAGTACATACTTTCTTCATTATCGAAAACTGATTGCATGCATTAGTTCAAAACGAAAGTATGAAGAATGAATAACTATTGTCAAAACAAGTACCTTTTTCAAATGATAAACTCAAACTAGGAAAAAAAAAGAAAGTTTAAATACCTTGACTTTCCGGCCAGTTAGCGAATATTTGAAAGTTTTTCTTGTCATGTACTTACGATTCTTTTTAAATCTATAATGTATGATTGTGTCATATGTTTAGTTATATATTCCACAAAACAAAAAGAAATGCTTTTTTTTATGATCACATGAAGGAGACCGTCATTATTTTGGTTTCTCTTGAAAAATTGTATTACAATGAAAGGTTTACTTTTCTGTCTTTTTCAATTTTTTTTCTACAGTCATATAATAGAAATTCAAATTACAATTCATACATGTTGTGCTCGAATATACATTGCACAAAATATATATATATATATATATATATATATATTAGGACTAATATCTTGTATTATTTTATTAATTTAATATTTATTTCATTTCGCAGTAAAAAAAAATTCACTGATAGTTATCAAAATAAAAACTTTGAAACAACAATTATTTATTCCAAAGTTTTACTCATGAAAAGTAATTATATATTTTCTATTTCTTTCAAATACAAAACGTAAATTGTATAGGAGTACAACAAAGTTGATTTATTAGACGTTATTGAAGAGAGAAAAGCAAGAATGATGAAATTGAAAGAATTGATTAATGAATTGTTACGTAATTTATTTGAATATTTTAACCGTATTCATCTTCTATGATCTTAACGTTCGTTTTAGCAATTTTTCTTGTATTCATATTTGAATTCATTTGGAATCTATATCGAAATATGATTTTGACAATGTCTATCGACAATATTTTTCATTCATTACTAATTAAAGTCTTTTCTTACACCTATCCATTAATGATGAGACACCAAATCTAGCTGAACAATTTTTTTTCTGATCTTTTATTCTTGAACAATTATTTTCATACATGAAATCGAATTATATTTCAATGTCATAACACTAGTGAAAGTATTGAGTTTAGAATACTCATTTACTGAGAGAATTCTAGCATAACACTCGAAAAAGTACCCCGCTACCATTATATCACAGGTACTTGATTGAGATGCTCTGGTCAAAATTGCTTCAGTACATAGGTAATTGATGATATCCATAAAGTATCTTATCAGATACTTACCAAATATCTGACACTTGAGGATGTAGGTGTGGGTGCGAGCCTCTTCTCTTTAGGCACACCTACACCCTAATTCAATCATTTTATTCTGTTTTTAATATAAATTTTTAGAAAATCGTCAGCGTAAGTTTTATTCCGAGCTTTTCATGGTCTGCCAACTACAGATCGAAACAAATTCAAGTCATAAACAGGTATTAGAGTATTTTTCTGGTCATATTATTTGTGTAAATATCGACAGATACATAGGAATTTTCGTGTTTCGGCTTTTACAACTACGTTTATAATTGTCATTCGAGTAGACAACGAATAGCAATATGCAAAGTTTCAAAATCTTCTATGATGATCTATGAATGAAAGAAAATTCATTATTTGTTACGCTCATGAATCATCGAAAAAATTCTTCTTCTTGTCTTTGTATTTGATTTATCTATAGTTCTTCTATTCAATCAAAATCAGATTCAGACATTCCCATTTTAGGATCAACATACTTGTTACCTACATTTACTGTCTGTCATTATTCATCATCTTTTAATCTAAGAGCATGGGTGTTAGTGAAAACAGAAAATATTAGTATCCACACCCTTCACAAAAGGGACATGCTGTTTTACGAACACTCATTATTGATTTCATATTGGACAATCGTGGAAGATTTGAATTATCCATTGGTCGTGAACATTTTTCTTCATGGGAAGATTTTATTTACCAAATGTATCAAAATGGAACATTTGTTGATGGCACCGTAGTGATCGCTTCTGCATTGTTATTACGTAGACAAATCATTATTCAGCAACATACACAACGTCCTGTATTATTGAAATCTTTATCTTCTATTACAAATAATAATCAAATACATCCCCTTTATGATTCCAAAAGCCTTCATTATAACAGTTTGTGGTCAATCAGCGGCAATAAATTAAGCGTTGACGAATCAGAATATGTTTCTGTCTGAATATTATCGAATAAAGAACTATTTTAAAATAAAAAGTTTATTAGTTTTAGTTAGAATTTAACGAAAACATATAGAAACGATATTCAGTGATTGTTAGGAAGGGCATAATATTTTATAAAATTTATTTATTTAACTCTTCCTTTTTATTTTTTTATTTTATTACGACGTTTCGAAGAACACGTCCTTCTTCGTCAGGTGTTATAAACAAATTTATTAAAGGACCCTGCTGGATTTCATGATCCATATCGAACCAGGATGCTATATATATGCTGTGTAGAGCTCGTTGAGGCGCATCGAATGGTATATAAGAAGACTAGTTTTCATCATACTTTGATGCCCTGAGGATTCTAACAGTGGTTATAGCACTTAATGGATATTATATGGTACCCATAAACATTATGGTTCTTAGTATGTCTTAAGATAAACCTATGTAAATTCTTTTTTAAAACTCTTTTCAATAGAGTTCCAGTTACTCTTCAATTCTCTATATTCATTAGTATTCGTCGTTGCTGTCTTCCTACATAAAAATAGTCACTGTCCACAGGTCTATGCTATTTATTGATTATAAGGCATTCCCGTATCGTCAACCTTGTACCACAGAACAAACGGGTACCAACGTGAAACTTTCTCAAAAACTGCATATTATCGAACTCCATATATTTCACAGTTAACTTCTTTGGTTACAGCAGGGTCCATTGTCATATTGCCAGTTTACCTCCTAAAAAGACCTATTTTTCTATCCAAAGGGGTCAATATATTGACGAATTTTTAATAGCATTAGATCTTTGAACATATCAAGTTTAGAGAATTGCCAGCACATGACTAGAACTTTTCTGAAAAGAAACTCGAACTCTAGAGTCGAAGCCCACCATGGGGGAAAAGTTTTTGCTAGTGCAAAATTGTTGTTAGTATTCTTCCATAGAAAATATTCTTTCCAACGATTGATCCGGATCTCTTGTATCCTTTGTGGCTACAGCCCTGGAGAATTGTTTGCAATAGAATTCTACAACGTCAGAAAACATAGTGAAAAAATTAATTTGAAGTTAAAAGCGATTATTCGCAAAATGTGACAAATTCAACTGAAATACTCGATTTAGTGTTAGTGCAAAGTGAAGAGAATGTCTGTTAACAAATGAATCAAGCTATTCAACTACAATCAAAATTATTCAAAATAAACTAAAATATATAGTTTTGTAGAGAATTTCACGGTGCATCTTTCGATAAAAAAAAATAAAGTTCAAGAAATGAAACGTTACTTGAAGTATAAGCGAAACACTAAGTGACCGATTTATTATGGACCATCCGATAGTTTTGTTGTTGCAGCTATACTCTTCTTGCACAAGCAAATTACGATAGAGGGCGTTCATGAACAGAAGCAAAAAAAATCGATTTGTTTTTCTATTCGATAAATATCATTCGAGCAGAAAAAAAAATTATAAATACCTATTTATTATTTTCTCTATAATACTATGAAATATTCGGCTAAATGAAATTTGAACAATTACCTAATGAACTAATATTCGATGTATTCGAATATCTAAATGCTATACATATTTTTCGTGCTTTCTATGGTTTGAATTCTCGATTTAATAAACTTCTCAATATTTCTTTTAAATTTTATCATCTGGATTTTCGATCTGTATCAAAATATACTTTTACTAATGTTTGTCAACAACATCTTCCATTAATTATTGATAAAGTTGTTACATTTTATTTAGCAGATGATGATGAAACACCAAATCTTCCTGAAATTTTTCTTTCTTATAATTTTACTCTTGATAAATTTATTCATTTAAAATCACTTTCACTTCAATCAATTCGATCTTTTGATATATTAAATAAAATTATATTACAATGTCATCATCTTTCATATTTAACACATTTCAAATTAATTCAATGTCTTTTTAATAATGAAGAAAATAATTTAATTAATAATATTTGGAATCTACCAAAACTAATTTACTGTCATATAGACGATCTTATGTCAAAAGGAATATGTTTCTCTAAACTTTCGATTATATCATCATCTATAAAATATCTCTCTATTAAAAATATAACCTGTGATTTTCGTTATTTATCTCATATTTTTGAACAAACACCTTGTCTTCAACAACTTTGTACAACAATTATATGTACAGAGAAAAATGAAAAATTTCAAACTACTGTTCCACTTTTAACTAATTTAAATCTCTCATTCAATGGTCCGATAGCAATGATGATGAATCTCTTTCAATCAATGTTTAATTTACATTATTTAACATTAAGTACATCATATTTATTATTAAATGGAAATGAATGGAAAAAAATTCTTATTGATTTTTTACCTAATCTTAAAATTTTTCGATTAAAAATGGATTTTCATTTTCGTGAAAGTAATAATATTGAAGATAAAATTAATGAATTACTTCAAACATTTCAAACAGATTTTTGGATAAAATATCATCAATGGTTTGTTCGATGTGATTGGAATCCATCAAATGCATTTAGTCATGCTATTCTTTATACTTTACCATATGCTTTTAATGATTTTCATTTTATTAATGAATCTTATTCAAAATCAACTTGTCCAAATGAAGAAGATTATTGGTTATATAATCAAGTTCAAATTCTTCAACATGAAAATAGTATATCAAATAATTTCGAATATTTTCCTATACAATTTCCAAATATATCTCATTTGGAAATTATACTTCCATTTAATGAAAAATTTTTATCAAATATTCCATCATTAAATCATTTAATATCTCTTGATGTTACATTATTACCTGGAGATTCTGTTTATAATCAATTACAATTGTTACTTAATCGAGCACCTCATCTTCATTTATTAAGATTTTCTCACGTATCTGATTTAGAAATTATATTATTTAAAATTCATAATAGATCAATACGTCGATTAGATTTTTTTACAAAAGAATCTATGTTATATAGTTGGTATTTCAATAAAGAACAATGTATTGCCTTAGCAAATTCATCATTAGGACGTCAATGTCAAACTCTTGTTATTGATATAAAACATCGAACAAATGTAAATGATTTAATTAATAATATGACTAATCTTCAATCATTAATTTTTCAATGTAAAGATGATAAATGGAATCCTAAAATATCATCATCAACAAATGATGAACTTATACAATGGTTACATGAATATTTACCATCAACATGTTTGATATCAAGAAATACACAACAAATATCGATTATTCAAGTGTGGATTCGTTGACAGATAACAAAAAAAAATTATATAGTAGAATCATGCAAAATGTATATAATAGATCTGAGAGATTATCTATTTTTAATACCAGAAATAAATGAACAATAATGTTTTTGAAACGAAATAAATTTATTAAGTTAATTTTGATAAATTTAAATATGCATCGATTCGTTTTGTAAAGAACAGACGAAATTGAACATATTATGAAAAAATTAAGTTCTGAGACTTGATAAAAAAATCTAGTCAATCGTAGAATATAATAAAAAGAATTATCAACAAGTTTGTTTAGTTTCTTTCATTTCAAATATTCTTATCATCAATTAACCTTGTTAGTCTATTTCGAAGAGATTTTGAAAAATTTTCTGTGCTCTATCCTACTTCATGATCTGTCACTTGATTTGCTCTGTAAAAATTTTTTCAAAACTTTAGCCTGAATATGTTCAATCTAATTTTGTATGTAACCTATCGTTCTCTGAGAGGCATGAATGAAAACGAATGATACACAGCAAAACTTAGCGATATGTTTTTCTTTCTTCAAATATACCTTATAGTGTGACTTTTACCCAATGGGAGCTAGTACCTTTTAGGATCTAGTATATACATTGGATTCCATGTAACTCTTAAGAATTCATAAAATTCAATGATATTCTATCAAATTGTCTACTACTACAATTTAATGGAGTCAATGAAGTCGGTTGCTTTTGTCTATCTACCTATTTATTATGAATACTGGGTACTTTAGTTCGTTCTCTGCTGATTATATATCAATAGATATTTTCTTTTCTTGTACTTTAGTATTATTCCTTAATCCATATCTTGCAAGTTTTCTCTATAAATTGTAAGAGAATGTGTGATGCACTTAATAGGTATGCGTGTGGGTGTGGGAGAAGAAGAAACACTCGCACTCATACATCCACACCCATACCTTGTAGAATAGTCCTGGGATATAAAAACCATAATCCTTTGCAGGAGCGCTTCTGCCCAATGCAATAGATTATGTTTGCTTTGTTGAACTGTTGCTTTTCCAACTCGTATTGTTCTCGATCACAAAAACTCAAATAGACTACCCATGTCTACATTGTTTTTTCAGCAAGCGCGTCAATTTAAGACGACCTTGACACTATAGAGAATCTTCACCTGATGTGTCCTGTTCGTATTGAGTGCTTCAGCATAATGATTCGTCAAAATAGATGTTTATTGGACACTGACAAGCACTATTAACGAAAATGAGATCACGATTATTGGGGTATGTTGAGCATAGTCGACCTTTATTAAAAAACATGTATGGAACAAGTTCAAAGAGGTTATGGAGTCAGTGCTACCAGTCTCTTCTCCGAATAGACTACAAGAAAATGATCGAATATCATAATCCATTGTATGACAGGCAGAATTCATATGGTAAGTATGAGTGTAGAGTTATAAACGATTAGGAGTCATCAGTGTGAGAAGTACAGCTTATTCGTCGATAGGTGCAGGTTTCCAGCCAGAAAACTACCATGCAAACAAATTATTGCCATTCAACGCTTTAAGATTGAATTTTGTCAATGCAAATGGCACATCAGTAGATGATATTAGATGAACATAGACGAAACATGGTTATGTTGTCGTGCACTATGTTTAGTTATACTGTAAATTACTTTTCATGATGGGATTCTCAAATGAAATTGCAACTAAAAACGTTATGAAAACGAGTAGTTGAATCATACTTCTAAGGTTTTTTCCGATTAAAATCCACTGTTTCATACGAAGTTCTTTTTCAATAAAAAAAAAAGAGTGAATTTAGTTCTTTCTTCAAAAGTGTGTTATCTTAATATTAATGGATATTTTTCTCCAGTGCAATCTTGAAAAGAATCTACGAAAAACGTTCTAATACCGCCTAAAGTTAATAAAGAAATGATCTTATTTTATACCACTATTGACAAGATAAGCCTCCATTTTGACTATAATTTTTGATGTATTTGTTTTTTCATTTGTCTCATTTGATACAATCATTTTCGTTCCTTATTCTAAAGGAACTTTTCATAAACATTCAAAAATATCAAGGAGCATATACATCTCAATTGTTGTGTAGCCAACTAGGTCATTTTTTATCATGTTCTAATGTGTCAGCAGCACATGACAATCAAAGTCCACCTTTGAAATAATATTTGTTTATGATAAAACATAAATAAGCATTAGAGAAGAAATGACGTGATAATAAAAAATTGCAGCGTAAACGCCTTCTTTGCAACTTTACAAGCAAATTTTTTCTACGTCTCTATGCTCATGATCAACTTGAGTATCAACAACCATTATCTTCATTTTCGAACATCTCTACGATAGATGGAAAGAATATCTTATCTATTGATGATGCATGATGACTTCTATTGCGAGTCTTTACATGAATATTATGTTGTTAGAAGCACAGAAATAACTTAAGGTACTCTTTTTCTGGACCATCCTTTAGATGAAGAAATGTTTGCTTTATCTTGTCTACATACTGGAAGATTCACCAATGTGTCTGATTTTCTGAGAAACCAAGCTGCTGCTCTGAAGACACTTTTCTCAAGCTTCATCCATCAAATAAACTTTATTTTTTCAAACTGATAGATTTTATATTACTATTTCAAACAAAAATAACTTTCATTTTATCATTAGTAGAAGAAACAGTGGAATCACCAAATGTTGATTTAAAACAGGCTGTAAAATGACAATTTTGATTTTTTTCCACTATAAAATAAAATGATATTTTCTCAACGTCTACTAATAGTTAGAAACTAGCAGTTTTCGGCAAAAGTCAGTATTATCAATCTACTATACCTGCTTGAATTCTTCACGCTGGTGAATGAAGTTGATGTAATGATAGTGTATTTTACATCAATGCACCCTTTTTTTTTGTAGACGTTAATATTAAGAATTTGCACATAATCAAAACTCCCATTAGAATGACCAATCGCATCATATTGTTGTTAGCTTTATTTATTGCATTTTTTCATGCTATTAATAGTAGTAGAAAAGTTCATCCGACTTTTCAACATCCACATCCTGTTCCACCTCAACCTAGTCAAGTATGTAATTTAATTTGTCGATAAAATCAAATATGAAGAATAATCTGCTATTATTAGTATACAACATCAATTATATTAAATGGACAACCTGCGATGTATTATGCAGATACAACTGTTAAAAGGGATAGACTCGACGAGTCTAACCGAAATCAGATCTCGATTATAGATTTCAAAACTTATCGACTCTATGTAATATTAGGAGGTATTATTTATTATTTTTCAATTAATCTAATATCAATGCAAAATATAATTTTTTTTTGTAAAGAAGCGTGTTCATGGGCTCAAATTCCAGGAAAAATTAAACCTTTGTTAGCATTTTCAACTTATGACTTTATTGGAAATCTAACACACAATAATACATTATGCAATAAATGGAATGGCTGTCATAATTATGAGGTAATAAATGAAACATCTTAGTGTTCAATGTACATATGCAGTACTACGTATAAATAGCGATGCCACTGTAACTCGAGAATCATGATAGTGACGGACTTCTAATGTTGCATTTTTATAAGTCCCACCAAACGTTGAACATCCTATTTGTGTCCGTCTCTTTTATTCAATGACTAGTGAGACTGAAAAGTTTACGTAAAATATAATCACAAAGTTTCATATTCAAACTTATTATTTTCACTCTATTTGTTAGTTTAGTTCTTGCTTCAGCACTCTGTAGCCGAAACTGAAGCTTTCAAATATAGCAATTTTACTGAAGATAAGTGGCAATATCGCGAAAATAGGAAGTTAGAAGGTGAAACTTTGAGGCTGTGTTTTACTTGTTTTTTTTTATTACAGCGTTCAGTGATTATATTTTTGCATGTTTATAGTGCGCAATAATCATAAAAAATATGGTAGAACAAATGACTCTTAGTTATTCACCTTTCCCTATCTACATATTCGTCAACAGTAAATGTTCGTTCTCAATATATTTTGGGAACCATACAATAGTGAAATATCTAGTTGTTTTTTCAGTAAACATTAACAGTCAATTCATTTGGTAGATAAATAAGAATCAGTAAACACTTAGATCTCACTAGTTATTCAATAAAAAAGACGGACACAAATAGGGTGTTCAACGTTCGGTGAGACCTATGGACACACAAAATTAGAAGTCCGTCACTATTGTGACTCTTGAGTTATAGCGGTATCACTACCTTTGTAGAATACTGCATGACACTTGTTATTAATTTATCTTTTATATAGATTCCTCCAGCACCATTTGATTATTATGCAACAGTCAAAGGAAATGTACCAATGGATTTAAATTTACCTACTGTTGATGTTAATATTCATTTTTCTAACTTTACATTTGGTCCTCCTCCACCAAGTACATTTGATATTCCAAGTAATTGCACTCTAACGGAATTCAATCAATTATTTCATCCCATCTTTTCATATTTCATAATTGAAAATAGTGATATAGAAATGTTGTGTTGATCATTGATGTTACAAAACAAAAACAAAAAAAGTTTCTCGAAAACTTTCCTTTAAATAAAAAATTTCATATTCTGTACAGTCATCGTTGTATTTTGAAGTTTTCACATGTTCATCATTGTACACTTATAAAAATGTACGTTTGCTGCATGGACATCATTTGTTTAGGGACTTTAATCGGTTACCCTACATCATGAGGTTGTGATCTGATATCGCGAAAAAATGTTGAAAAGCTTCTGTAAAACATTAGTTTTTCTAGTGGATGGGCATATGAGTTAAATGCCAAACGATATTCATTATTGTTCTAGTTTAGAAATAATATTTCAATCATGTATAAACGATCATTTCTCGACCTTATTTTAAGGATCATGCTTTTAAGATGCTCGATGGACAATTCATAATCATCATTTCATACGTCTTTTCTCTCGATTGCCGGTAGATACATATCTAACACTATTATCCTATTCTTACGGATCATTTTCGCTTGTAAATGTACACGAGTTGAGTTAGCTAGAGTCTTTCGGAGCAGTCCTAATCATCATCCTGCCTGTGTCGTTCTGCAGAAGAGACAGGATTAGAACAAGCAAATAAAGGAGTTGCACCTATGAGCGTGGTTTTATGGGATCAAGACTAAAGAAAAACAAATCATGTGTCTTATCCAAATTTGTCGATTTCAATGTGTCGAATTTCTTTTTATTATAAGATAAAATATAGATTTATCTGACTATATTTTATGAAGTAATATTCTCTTGTTGATTTCACCAGGCATCGTTATCTATTTGAGAGTTCATTTCATAATGATTAGAAGAGAATACAATTCTCTGTCGACGATGAGATAAGAAGTTTAATGAAGCAAGCAGGCAGAAACGAAGTTTTTTTTTTTAAATTTTTCATTATGTACTGAATTGCACCGCACAATAGTGATAGCTCTTTTTAAAAATATGGGTAAACAGTACGAGAACGTTCGTAGTTTACTTTTTCAGAACAGAATAACTATTCCATAGTTGGAGTTAAAGAAAACTTTTATGGATTTGGACTTACAAGCTCGTGACAGCAAACAATTTACTCCATAGGAATCTCAAGTCTGTAAGTAGTTCTAAATCATCCTTTTTTTTTCATTTCTTTATGAATACAGTATGGATTGTCATCGACGACATGTGACCTGTCTGACTGTCTAACATCATAATATTCAACCATGTAACAAGTAGACTTACAAAATCTTACTCACACTTTGCATTTCCGGCATCTTACACATAATACGATTCATAGTCTTTAAGTAAACGTCCCTCCAATTCTGGAATTTATAGTCGTTCTCTAGCTCATGATTATTCTATGAATTGCTAATTATACTACTAAATCCCATTTTCGACGAGCTTTCATTTGATAATAAATTTAATATTGATGTCATTCGTTTTTGGAGTCGTACCCTTCTGCAAAAAAAAAGAAATATTATTTTTAACTCTGTATACTTTCAATAGAGACGAACAAATCAGTAAACTTCTCTAATAGAGAATATTTATTCATTTAAAAATTACTGCATGAGAATCGAAATTAATTAATTAAAATATTTCTTATTTATGTTTGATAGATAAAATAAAGTTGACTTGAAAATCATTTGTAGTTAAATATCTTTATTCTTATGAAGTATTTTAATATCAGAATAGATTAACCAATATGAAATGAATGTGATAATTAGTTTTTTTTCTTTTCTTGTTGTTGTTAAAATAATTGTTTTTGCTAATGTTTCTTTGAAACAATGATAAAAAATAAGATATACATGAAAAAATAAAAATAAAAACAAATGATAATTGTTATGAATCTTCTAATTTTCCTGTCGATATATCGACTAGTTTTGGATAACGTAAAGATTTCTTATCTAATTTATCTTCAATATAATCAACCATTTTTACAAGCATTGATAAATCTGATTCTGATTGTTGATTTTGATAAATAAGTAAAGCATTATTTATTTGATTGGCAATAATTTGTCGATGTGATGTTTCCATTAAATAACCATATGGAGATTCTAGTGGTTTATCAAAAACTAATAATGCCATTGTTTTTTCTAATTCTTGTCGCATTTTAATATCATCTTCAGCAAATTCAGCTAAATGAACTTGTGCATATGTCAAAGCTTCATCAATTAAATTTAAACGAATTAATTCAATTAAACTTTGTTGCTAAAAAGAAAATAATCAATTTAAATTCTTTCATCTATGAGAATTTTATTTTTATTAACAATTGTTTATTTCCTACAGAAACTAACTTATTATTATTTTCTTTAGTCAAATTCTGTTTTTATAGTTTGTTTTCTCGACTAGGAATTTTTATTCTTTTATTTTACATTCTCGAAAATAATTCGAAACGAATCAACAGAACGAATTATAAAATAAATATTAATCAATTATTATATGATTTATCATAAGTAAATAACAAGCATTTTTCTTGTTGATTAAAAACTTTTCTGTTATTTATTGAACAATAGCAAGTTCATCTTTTCTTAGGTATAATATCTTCGAATATCCCCCTGGACAAAAATAGTTCGACAAAGTATTTTCAATAAATTATTACTATAAATTAACCTTTTTGAAAAAGTAAGGATATATTCGGATAGCCCGAAGAGTTCTCTACAAAACTATATATAAACATTTCGGATTGCACTTCTCCTTAAAAAATAAACTCACGTACAATAAAGGCACTCTCATCATCAGATTCCCCAAAAATACAATTTTTCGCCCTTTTTCGATCGATTTTTTTATCCTATTTTTATCCTGTTTTCTTCCTTTTTTCAAGTTTATTTTCAACAAAAGAACAAGGTATAACAAAAGTAAGTCTATATTCTGAAAGCGCGTGAAATGCTCTATCATCCTGTATTTTTTGTCAGTCTTCGCTTGCTACGTGTCCGATGAACGAAAGGGATAAAAAGAATTGAATTAATCGGGGAATCTGATGATGAGAGTGCCTTTATTGTACGTGAGTTTATTTTTTAAGGAGAAGTGCAATCCAAAATGTTTATATATAGTTTTGTAGAGAACTCTTCGGGCTATCCGAATATATCCTTACTTTTTCAAAAAGGTTAATTTATAGTAATAATTTATTGAAAATACTTTGTCGAACTATTTTTGTCCAAGAGGATATATTCTACTTTTTAATTATTGATGTATCATTCTCTGCTGATTAGTTCATTTTACAACATTCGTATATAAAACAATACTAGCTATTTGATTAGAAAATACATTTGAATGTGATCTTGTTTTTTAATTCGGATATTTACTTTTAATAGAAACATTTAAATTTGAATCTAATATGAACTTAACGAGTTCTATTATACTCTTTACAATGATACTCATATGCAGATAGAATTTTGACAAATAATTTTGTTATTTTTAAATAAAATGAATAAGAATAAAAAGGACTCTATCAAAATAATCCTGTATATTGAATATTGTCTTAGACATTTGACTTCTTAGAATACTGTAGATTCTGATAAATTATCAGTAATATTTTAAAAATCAATTATGATTGTCTTAACTGTAATTCTATGACAATGTTTCTTTTCGTAAAAGATGATTTTCGATAAAAAAAAAAACATACTGTATCTTCTATTGAATATTTCTATAGTAATGACGGCTGAAATTTAAAAAGTTCCGAAAAAAAAACTAAATTCATATAAATGAAAGAAAAATACGAATTTCACTCATAAGTAAAGTTTTTCTTTTTGTGATATTTCAAATAATCTAATGTTATCTATCAAAATCATATTTAAAAGAAAAAAAAAACAAAATTTATTCTAATAAAATATTGATTATATTGAATTACTTTTAAATGAAATCCTAATTCTTTATTTTGATCAAGTAATTCAGGTGCTTTTTTATTAATTAAACAAATTGCATCTTGAATTCTTCCAGTTTCAATTGCTTCACGAATCCTTAAACGTTCATCAACTAATGTTAAATCAACATTATTTAATGATATTCCAGCTTCCTCAGCAAATATTTCAGCTGCATCTTTAAATCCTTCTATAAGAGATAAAAAATTTCTCTTTTTCAAAATATTTAATTTGTTTTTTTTTTACCCGTAATAAGATAATTAATAATCAATCGATTTAATGTCGATCTTTCTAAATGTTGTTGTTCAATAGCTTCCATCCATTCATTTTTTGTTTCTATGTGATGAACTGGTGTTAAAATATGACTTTCACATGTTGATGAAGCTGATGATGTATTCGATAAAGCCATTGCTGCTGCTATAGCTGCCTAATTTTTAATTATAAAATTAATTACAAAACAAAATAAGAAGAAAAATAAACAAACTTGAAAAGGATGTGCAAAATGTGCCTGCATTTTCGTTTGATCGTCGAGAAAGTGAAATAATTATGAAATGAATAAGGCACAAATCGAAGATTTGTTGGAAGGATAAAATATGGCAAACTCTAATGGACAAATATCTTCACCAATACGAAATGATCATCAAAATCAATACTCAACAAACAGCGCCATCTCATATTAAATCACATTTTGTAGAACATGTAGTATGAAAATTATAGAAAAAAAAGTTTTTAATAGAATATTAAAAAAGTTCTTGAATAAAATTATGTGTAAAAGAATGACGAATGACTTTCGTTGTGTAAAAATAGTTTACCTATTATTCATTAACGTGATCATATATAAATATTTTCTCGATTTTATTTCTTTGTCATCAAGTTGAAATGATAATATTTTATGAATTGATGATTCTTGATAGATCGGTTTCTATAATATCTTTGATTAATTTTCTTATATTAATGTAGACCCATTATTAATTATTTGACTTCAGAAAAAAAAAATTCAATGTTCCGCTAAGTAATATTTCAATTTTTGATTTTTCAGTCAATATCTTTGAGTTAGGTGTGGCTGTGTATCTTCTCTTCATCCATAATCATAATCACAGCCTCAAGTATCTGGACATTTGAAAGAGCATAGTACTTCTGCTGTAACAATAACACCAACTATCTCATCTCAACTTCAACCTATTGCAACTGTCAATACACTTCCATTACGTGCTAGAAATCTAGAAGAGATAATAAATTACCGACTTGAACAATGAAACTAACTCAAACAATAATAAATAAGTAGAATTACTTAATACAACAAAATCTGCGTTACTTCAACATGAGTTAGAACTCCAACATACGATCAACTGAGTCGGCTGAAAATTAATTTTGAAGAGCTTAAAATGTTACGACCTACCTGTGTGTGTGAATCACGTCACATTATGGCAACTATAGGCGATCTTGAAGAAAACTGTCTCGTCCGTTCTTATCTTCATTCATCCTAAGGGATTGAATACAAAAAAATCTAAAGTGAAGATGAAACTTTGTGAATGTCACATGAGAGGACAGACACTCCAACGTATACTGAGGTACAATAAATTGTTCTAGTTACCAGTGGTAAACAGAAGCACTGAATGAATCCTATATCTATGTTTATATGTATGTATGTGGTGTTACAGTTTTTTCATAGTGCTTTGATCATGTCGAGTAAATCAACGAAACTTCGACAATTAAAGTGATAAATAACTAAATAATGAAGTTTAAAGCTGCTATTAATACTATTATTATCATCAAGAAAGAGTGAATTTCATGAGTCTGTTCATTTTTGGCATGAATGATGATCATACATATTGTGTAATTTATTTCGTATCAAAACTATTCAAATTGCTAGACGTAAAAGTTGACATCAGGTTAACGTGGTATGACGTTACAGTGAATTAAAGGAATTGCGAGCGATGTATGTTGAACGAGCCCTGCAGTAGGATAGAGCGTGTTGGAATTATTGTCATCGTTACTGTCATTGCTAAATACATCAGAGCAGTTCTGAATATCCTTGACTGGATCGACATAGGACAATCAACATTGGCGCAGAAATGTAGAATTAGGATAGGTAAGGAACATATACCACTAGACTACAGCAGCCAATAATTCGACTAGGATATGGCCATGTACATACTACGCCTTAGCAGATGTGTTCTTGTACCGGTTGAAAAGTTATACGATATTGCAATCCTATGGTGCGAATGAATATGTGTCTTTTATACCTCAGATCATTGTTTGACAGCTCTAATAATATAAGTCCGATAGAACTTTGAGGGTGGATGGGTGTGGTCTGTGTTTTGTTGAACGTGAGGGTATGAGTCTTCTCTTCACTAACACCGTCACTCACATATCCAATCTCTTTCATCCTTCTATGTAGACAACATGAAAACGCTTGAAACGATTTAGAAAGTATGGATAAATAAGTCAAAGTGCACAAAAATGAAAAAAGGCGATTACAAGACTATTTTTCTAGTATTATATTGCATGTTTCCTGAAAATTATAACTTCCTCGTAACGAGGAGCATAGTAAGATAGTACATGAAAAATTGCATCTTTCTATACATATTTCAGAGAGCAACAAGATCAAATGGCAAAACAATATCACTCAAACAAGATGTGTATACCATACTTGACCCTGAGTTCGGCTACGAAGGCTATGGATGAGAGTATAAGTGAATTGAAGACTCAAACACATATTCACCTTTACTCATACATCTCACACTCAAAATGAATAAATTTGTAATAAGAACATTCAATTATAATTATTTGCAGAAATTGATAAAGCCATAAAAGAATTATTCAATAAAGCAATGGAAATTTCTTGAAACCATTCGATTATCTATTAGTCAGAATTACTCTTCCTTTCAAAAATTGTTTATGTAATACTTCCGTGATTTATTAATCATACGATTTTATATTTCAAAATTCATCTTTTTTAACTCACTCAAATTCATTTCCTTCGAAAAGCAATTTCACTAAAGAAATTATTTGATATACGTCATTATTTGAAAATGTCACATTTTTTTTCCGAGAGATAAAAAGCAAATTTTATTTGTTTATTCTTTTTCTACGACATAGTATCTTCAAAAGAAAAATCTTTTAAAACAAAAAAAATATATTTAATTTATTTTAAATATAATATAAAAAAAAGAAATTCGTACAAGAAAAATTTCATTTAAAATAAATGAAAAAATAATTCATCTTATAAAATTTCTGGTTCAAGTTCTCGTGATAAATCATTTTGTTGTTGTTTAATTTTATTTGTTGTGGGTACATCTGGCAATGATGTAATTACCGGCGTATCTTCTTTAGCTAATTCATTTAATTCTCTTTCCAAATCATCATCATTATATAAATCCGATATTCCTGATGGTTGTGTTGATAATACATTTGCAATTTCATCAGCTAAAAATGAAGAATAAAAATAAGTTTATATTTAATAAAATAAATCTTTACCAATTTGTTGTTGTTCAGTTAATTCATCCTTTAAATCAAGAACATCATCAGCATCTAAATTTTGATTAGCTTTTTTTAAAGCACCAGCTGCTTGTCTCATAACACGTAAAATTTCCATATTACTTGATGCATTTTGTAAAGTTTCTCGTTGAATTTCTAATGTTGTTAAAGTTCCATCTATTTGAATTAAAGCTTTTTCATATTTTTTCTTTCGTTTTAAAGCCATTAAAGCAGCACGTTTATTTCCTTGTCTTGAATAAAGTAATGCATTACCTTTTTCAACTTCAATTTGAGATTCGAAATGTTCTTGTTTTTTACTAAGAATTTCTTCAACATTGGATAAACGTTGTATAGCTTCATTAGGTGATATTTGATTTGGATCTTCTTTATTTGACCTACCGAATAAACGTTGAAAGACACTCATTGGTATAGTTTGACTAAATTATATGAAAGGAAAAAAGTGAAATAATACTAGTAGAAGTAATGATGACTCATTTGTTATCATCGAAATTTGTTTTTTATTTTTGAAAATTATTTCTATGCATTACTCATTTATTTATTTCTGTTTATTAAATTTAATTTCATATAGAACTAAATTATATGTGAAATTTTATTTAAGGTACAACAAACTATCCGAACATGAAAATCAAAATTTTTTCAATTTTCTTTTTGTTTTTCATTAATATATGAATATATTTTAAAGTGTCCTCTATCGATCTGTAAAAAACACAAACTTCTTTTAACAGCATTTTGACCTCGAAAAGAATGACTTTCGTGACGTTCTTATCTAAAAACAAAACTCGCCTTTTTATCTTTTGTCAAAATATTACCCCTCTGAGTTTGGGCTGCTTGTAATTATCTTATTTGTAGCATTGGATTATGTTAGAGTCGCACATCGAGATGCATGAAACATCATTCGACTTCAGTTTGAGATCGCTAATCGAGTTTATTCGAGAAACGATCAATATGATGAAATCGAAAATTTTCGACTTGAGACTTATTTTTTATATTTAAGATTATTCCTAATCGTTGATTGAGGAGTCAGTATCTTCAGAATTATTTATTCTTATTGTTTAATTCTTCCGTCGACTGTTTCATTTCTTCTGTTAATAATAAAAGAGAAATATAATCAACAAGAAATATATTATTTATGCACGAATATTTAGAGGAGAATCGACATTTAATTTTGTTTTGCGTTTTTCTCACAATCAAATTTTATATAAAACAACTACTATTTCGTTCCTGTTTGTCCGACATGTCGAGCGGCATCGAACTGAAACTTTTTTCACATATTGAGTGTGGGCATTTTTTTTTATTTCAAAAACTATTGTTCTGATAATTTGTGACAGCTTTCACAAACTTTGTTCTAAGAAAAAACTCAAGTGTTTTTTTCGGTACGTCCGGTATTTTGACTTTTTTATTGAGAGGACAAACCATATAAGGAAACCAAAAAAAAAACATCCACTTCAAATAGTGTCCAGTAGGTGTAAAAATATTTTGAACTGGATCGAGCGTAGTATCTCGGAAAAGAAGGACGAAGCGAAAGGAGAGATCACTTTAATCAATTGCGAACCCACTGTCTCATCAAAATTCTTCTGATGAGTGGTTCTCCAGAAACTCTGGAAAGGAGGGGGACGCACCGTTAAGGCCCCCAAAAAAAGGTTGCTTTTCGTCAGAATCATCGAAATTGAGATAAATCCATGTAGAAATAGCTCATCATCTACTCTTTCATACGCGACAAAAACTTTTATTCGGCATCTCTTTTTTTTCAAAAAATTCTGAAGATTTTCATCACCTACTATTCGAAAAACAAGCCGTTTTTACAAACAACTGAAAATCATTTTTCGTTTTTCTCAGAATGTGGATTCAACGACGTAGAGCCAGCAGAACTCTATCATAGTCAAAGATAAAGTCAAATATTTTTTTTGTTTGAAAACTTGTGTCTAAGACTAGCCCCATCGTGGCCCTTTTTTTAAAATAAGTCTTTTTATTATTATATAAGAAAACAACTCTATAAAAACAGCGTCATTTTTTTAGAGTTTTTTGAATCATTAAACTTGTCATCCCATTTTTTTCGCTTAAAAAGTAAGAGTTTAAAAAAAGAACCACGAGAGAGGCTAGCCCTAGACACAAGCTTTCAAACAAAAGAAATTTAAATGTATAAAATGAAGGTCCACAGAGCAATCTTGGTGCTACGATAGAGTTATTTTTGATCCTTGTTTGGTGAATATCTCTGTCGAACGTTATGATATATAGCTGAAAGTTTTATCGTAGCCATCGCTCACCAGCTCCAACATATCCTGAAAGTTTCATGCAGTTTGGATGTTCCTGGGCTGAGATACGTTTTTTCAGGAGGCCTTAAGCGATCGTTATCTGTGATCAACATTAATGTAAACAAATTATAAGACATCAAATGATTAACATATACTAAGAAAAGTATGCAGATATTTGTAAAATTATTTCATTCAATATTTTGTATTAACTTCATCAATTTTATATTGTAATGATGATTAACATTGTTAACATCTAAGTGTTAAACTCATTGACTTTTAACGTTAAATTTGATTTTAGAACAAAAAAAAAAACCATAATTTTTTTTCTGGTTAAAATATTCCAAATAAAATGTTTTACTGATAGAATCAAAATGAATATATAGGAAAGAAGATTTCAAACAATGAATAACCAAATAGAGATGTTTGTTAATTCATAAATACGATAAAAAACTGTTTTTTTTCTTTTCAATAGATAAATATGCGCAATGAATGTTCGATTGTCTATTCACTTATTTGAAAATCCATGAACAAAATACATTGAATTAATTATGAAGACACTTAAAATAAGTATATTCGATTGAATATGATATCGATTAATAGCTTGATTACATAATTTTTTGTTGCAGCAATAAATTTCAAGATCAGAAATTCGAACAGTAGTATCATTACCAACAACAACAGAACTTTCTAGATCTTGTGGACAACCAGTAGAACTTACATTTCGAACAGTAAATTTATGACCATTACTAAGTTTACCAATCATTTTCTGTAATTAAAAAGTCAATTTTTTAAATGAATTGAAATGTAATACATACTGTACAAATTGCATCTGAATCTCGACTACCGACTCTCGAAATAGATGTTCCATTATTATTGAATTTGTCTTGACAACCAGTTGTGCCCACGTTTGTACTTAAACAGAAATAACATTCTAATGCACTGACACGATGAATTTCTTATAAAATAAAACAAAATGAAACTTTGTTATTTGATCCTTGATTTGAAACCTACCGTTACAGAATATTAGGTATATTAGACAAAATAGATTTGCTTTCATGATAGTGTGAAAAAGAAAAAGATGAATGACAGTAAGTAGCGATCAGAAACTTGATATTTTATAAATAGAAATAATACGAAAGATTTTGTAATTAATATTGCACAATGAAAGTGTATGCTATCAGATTTGTCTTTTTCGTTTCTTTGTTTTTTTTTCTAGTTTTAACGTGAAGGAAAGAGAAATACATTTGTATTTAACTAATATTTTTTTTTACTCTCAAATGATTGATTTTATTTGTTCTACTTAAAAAAACGATTTTGTTTTGTAAAATACCATCAATAATGATGTAAATAATTCTTATTGATTATCAGTATTTTCTTTCAAGTTTATTAATTGTTCATTTCTATTTGAAATTATTTTTTCTAGGGAATATTGAATTCATAATATGATATTATGATCAAGAAAATGTAATCAAATTTTGCTTATTTAATTCTATTGATGAAATGATTGACTACTTTATATTATTATTTAGAGATTGATGGAATCATTTGTCTAAGAAATAATAAATTAATTTAATAGATGATTGACTATGAGTGGATGTACAGAAAATAATAGAAAATATTTTAGTTTTGAACATACAATTTAATGAAGAATTCTAAAAACTTATTAAAACTGATTGAGCATGTTTGTATATTTCGTATAAACACGTCAAAATATTTCCGAAGACATGTTTTTTCTCTCATAATAAAGATCCTTACTAGCTGAAACATGTCTCAAATAATAAAATACATCGATCAAAGTCTGATCGATGTGATTCTATGAAAAAAACTTGATTAGAAATCCACGTTTAAGGAGAATCCACTCCTTTGCTGGCATTGTTGGAGAACAGCTCATCAGAAAATTTGAAAAGTTCTATAGATCTGGATGAGTAGAGTAAAAGTTGTTATAGCCTCAACATTTTCGGATGTTTCAACATAGATGATATTTGGATCTCAATGGCGAAAAAGTGACCTTCGTTATCGTCTACTTTTTTTTGTTTCTTTTTAATCTTCTCCTGCACAACTAAAAATGCCAAAATCCTAAGAGTACCCTCAAATATGCATGTTATTTTTTAAGTGAAGCTTTTTTTTTTGTAAACTCTGGTAAAAACCAGATGTATATCATAATTTGAAACAAAAAGACATTAGACATCATGAAAAATTTCTATTATGAATGGAGGAAAGTTTCAGATGTATCAGATGTACTGTTATTGAGAAATGGACTCGATTCTTTACTCTTCTGTTGCCAAAAAGTTTCGTTTTCCAAAAATAGCGAAATAATGTGTATATTTTGATGTTTTTGGAACGAAAATGTTCCATCTTTTCTAGTTTTTATTAGTTACATTTAGTGGATATGTAAAATATGGTGGAACAACATTGTGCACTCGTTTGTGATGATAGATATTCAAATTTTCATAATTGCAACAGTTTTTATGATGATTCAAGCGCTGAAATTTATTTCGAACATTGATGAATATGAAAATGAATTAGTATGTTTATCGGCATATCATCAATTAGCATCCGAAGATGATAATAAAAAAAAAGAATATAATAAAAAGAAAACGATAGTCGAAAAAAACAAAGGAACTCACATTTGTTAAATGTTATCATCAACAACAAACTGGAAAAGCTCAGTTTATGAAAAATTGAAATTCAATTTTAAGTCTTTTTTTTGTCATTTTTACTTTGTATTTGAAACATAATTATAGTGAACTGACTAAAATATAATAACGATATTCGATCCTTTGTGAATACGAGTTCATAGTAGAAGATCCGAGATTTTAAATTGAGTGGAGGTTGGAAAGTAAATTCGTCTAATTCTTTTACATGTCAAAAATCAATCAACTAGTTTTGTTTCATATGATAGACAACGGAGTAAAATTGTTATTAATACAGATCATGTTTAGGAGTTATGTTAAAAAATATTAATTTTAAATGATATATAGAAACTCAAATTTTTCCAGTTTCTTGTTTTAAAATTGTTGACTTCTTCTATTATCGTTTTATTAATATATTGTTCAAATATATCATTTATAAGATTTCGCCTAAGAAATTGTTAAAATACAGTTTTTTTTAGGGGATCCCTTAACAAAAGCATGTTCTCGAATAAATTTTGCATTGATCACTTCAATTGAAAATATTATTCTTGCATCGGTTTGATCAACAAATTGTTCAATAATACTAACAGAAATATTACAATACAAGTATTATTACCTCAACCGATAATATCTTGATCTTTATTATATCGAATATTTCAATAGTCTCTCATCCCATGCTCAATTGTTTAATGACAAGAAGGTAATTTAAAGAGTGCAGCTAAGAAAAAAAGTTTTAAATAAGACAACCCTGGAATAATAGCTGGTTGATTAACTGGTCGTAATACTCGATTGCGATGAATATATAAACTATCCCCAACGAAAGTTCGTTGCATCGAATAACGATTAATAGTAACTGATTAATTAGATGCTACACCTTCTTTTAGTAAATGCATATTTTGTTTAGCGATATAAACATATCGATAGATATTGTGGTTAAACTAATACATCAAAGATTGAATCACTTTCTCGAGTGAGGGTGTGGGAGTGAAGGTAAGTACCTATGAAGAGAACTTCTTCGCCTGCATCTCAAATTTTCCCGACGGCTTTATAAGATGCAAGAGATAAACTTGCATAGTAGAATGATCTTAACTACTGTTCAAGGTCAGATCAAGGACTTGAAAGGGCTGATGATAAATTTGGTGACAATATGATTGTCGCCTTAATTGTGTGAAAGATATTTAATTAATAGATAAAAGCACACGAGTAGACACAAAGGAACTTGAATTGGAGCAGATGAAGCAGAATAAGTGTGCTCGATATAGAAAGAACTTCGTACAAGATTGAGGTCTAGTATTAGAAAGTTATGAAAACAAAAGAGAACGGACGACCTATTTTAATATCTGGAAGAAGAGAGATCGTGAAGAGTCCATCTAGATTGTTTTAAATATTCCAACAGGCTTTCTGACTCTCACACACTGTTTTACTTTCGGATCCGACAGAATCTTAGAGTTACAGTACTCGTCTCAAGTTCATAAGATTATCCGAGATACTTATCTATTATCTCACCATCAGTTACTTTTCATTACTCTCTACTTAACGATGCAAAGTAGCAATGGACAATCATCATCATTACTGAAATTTTTGTAATGGCAGCAGATAATTTTCTATAGTTTGTAAATCAAGCAATGCATATTGCTTTGTTCCTGCTAATATATAGCTTTTTCGTCTGAAGTTTATTTTGTTGAGTCATTCGTAAAACAAAAAATATTGATTACTAAGATTTTTTTTTATTAAAGATGGCAAAAAAATAACTCATATAAGGACGTCTCTAGAACAAATAAATATATGTTGACATAATATAGGAAGCCATGGTCTTCTGTTATCAAGAATAGACACAAAAAGATACATTAGAGGATAAATTGAAAACGTTAATGTCTTATGTTTGTACGTCTCATAATATCTTCAACATTTAACTATAAGTTCGTCGAGACAGTTTGTGCCACAGAAGAAGCAATATGATCAGCCAGATGGAGAGACTGTTTCCTCCTTCGTATTGTTGCTTAACATATCTACAACAGGTACTGTTCCAACATCATCAATATCGTTTGGTTTGATACCGACTATCTTTGATGTCTGCAGCAAATAAGAAGCGATAATATTAATCTGATGAAAAGACTCTTTCTCTGACCTTATTTTTTTCCAATGCAGAAGCAATATGTTTCATCCAATTCTCTCCGATTCTATTGAATTTTAGATAGAGTATCGTCAGTGTCTATATCAAAGAAAAAACAAGAGATAAATCAATCAGATAAAGGTACTCTTTTTCTCACTGTATTGTTTTCTAATGCATCTGCTAGATGCTTTGCCCCATCATCTTCAATATAATTTGATCCGAGATGGAGTGATATGAGTGTCTGTATAAAAGAAGAAACAACTAATATGTAGCATAGATAAAGTCCATTGCAAAGAAAGCACGAACGGTCGTCATCAAACGCATCTTTCGATGTATGTATATATAACGAGAGTAAACGGTTTTTTGAGATTTATACGGGACTATGATCTTAATTTATCTTCGGAAATCGAGCAAAAGATCATTTTATTCTTGTAGGAATGTATATGAGACTGTTATTATCTTAACATCATAATAACACGAAATACAAGAATTCAATGGAGACTTTAAAAAAGAGTGACAAGCATAAAGCACCAGACACCCACACCCACGTATACGGTCCGACGCATTGCGTGTAAATAAATCACAAGAAAAGACTATATATATATATATATATATATCTCACCTTATTATGTCGTAATGCGTTAGCCAGGTGCTGTGCGCCATCATTTCGGACTGCATTCGATCCAAGATGAAGTGTTGTGAGCGTCTGTATCGAAGAAAAAACAGTACACTTAACGTAAAGAGAAGTTTATTTTTCATACCGTGTTTATAGTTAGTGCATCTGCTAAATCCTTTATTCCATCATCAAAGATGTTATTTGATGCAAGATTCAATGTTGTTAATGTCTGTATTCAAGAAGACACAATACCATCAAACAGATGAAAATTCTATTCTTCTTACCGTATTGCATTTTAAAGCATCAGCCAAATGTCTTACTCCAACATTTCCAATCATATTCCATGCAAGATGAAGTGTTTTAACTGTCTGCATCAATGAAGAAACAATAACATCAGTCAGATGATAAGGATTGCTGTTCTTACCATGTTGATTTTTAATGCATCTGCTAGACACTGTACTCCAAGATCTCCAATAAAATTCCATTGGAGATGGAGTGCCTTGAGAGTCTACGTCAGAAAATAAACAAAATTATATCAGCTGGACCAAAATTCTTTGTTGAGTAAAGTTACTCATTTAAATCACTTCTGTATTTGAGAAAATAGACAAATATATACTTAGTACTGGCCAAATCAAATACACGTATGTTCATATTTAAGTATTTGACTTAGCTCTTGGATTTATATTCAAATGGAGATTCAGTACTTAAATTTTGAAAGGTCACTCAACAAAAGTACTTGAATTAATACTGATCAATTATTTAAATACTGTTCCAAATTTTTTTGTTGCGTTAGAAGTACTCAGATTCTCGAACATGCAGTAAATCTGACTATTTTCCTCACCTTGTTGCTTTTCAATGCATTTGCCAGATATTGCATTCCATCATTTCTAATGTGATTTGATGAGAGTTCAAATTCCGTTATCCATGTATCACAAGTCACAGTAAATGTTGTTCCACAAAAATTCGTCGAATGGTTGTTTAATGCATCTGCTAGATGTTGTGGCCTAATCGGTTGATTCAGTCGAAAACGTGCAACTGGCTGTTGTTGTCGAGAATAATTGTAGAATCTCTCTCGCTGATTACTAACAGTTCCAGCTGGACACACTGCAAGGTTGAGTGTCGTGATTGACTGTATTGAAGAAAAAACAACCAGAAGATGTAAGAATGAAGTTCATTGTACGAAAGCACAATGCAAAAATGACCTCGAATTTTTATTTGTGTACAACTTGTAAAGTTTATCCCTTATTCAGTGATACAAATACATTGAACCTATAGAGTACTTGCTTTCGTTTGTAGTGATGTAGTTATCAAGAAGTGAAGATATGAGGATCATTATGTTCCTTCTGTTCTTTCGTCAGCGTCGATGTTCTTGAGACGTTACTATTTGTTCGTATATTCTAATCACAATATGGTTGATCGTAGCCAATCATCTTTTCTATATTCCTTTTATGCGTATTAAAACGAAAGTCAATTACCGTATACGTTCATCATGAAATCTCTCCTGGATAGGCTCCCACAGTTTTTGATATTTATCTCTGTCTTTAGTTTTCCAAATAGTAACGTTAATAGGAATTTCTTTTTATTTTCTGATACACAGAAAATGAGTCATATCTGCTGTCAAAAGTCGAATGACGTTAGCTAGAATTTACTCGTGCTCTGGTGAGAATAGATATCAGATATTGCTATAATCTGAAGGTTATAAAAACGAAAAATAGCACTACAAAATCTATAAAACTCAGGCACATCAAAAGAATTTTTTCCTTACCGTATTATCTTTTAGCAAATCTGCCAAATACTGTACTCCACGATGTCCAAGTCCATTCGATCCGATTTGTAATATTGTTAATACCTGCATCAAACAATAAGTGATACGTTTTAGTTGAGGTCTAGTATGGTAAATCTCTGTATAAAAAATGATGATGGATACAGATGAGATTAAGCAGAAATATCTTTGGCAAAGAGGCATACAACGAAACCGAATAAGAAAAGATTTCAAAAATTATTACGCTTGGTTGCTTCAGTAATTATGAAGAGTGATGAATTCAAGGAGATTGAGCTAAACTATGTCTGTCGAAAATTTCTGTCTTTTCGCTTTGTGTTCCGATAGTTTGGTAAAAGGTGTTGTCGATTTTCAACGAAACAAGCTTTCTTTTGTATTCATCATGGTGCGGAATTTGAGTATTACTGCGGTCTACATTCAGTGAAGAGTTCTGAAAATAGGTTCGAAACTCTTTTAGTCAGTCAATCTTTCGTTTTCTTTCGCATGAAAAAAGTCACTCGACTATTTCAAATGAATAAAGGCCTAGAAGATCATTTGACTGATGAAAGATGTTTATGCGATTTCTAATTTATTCATCTCAATAAATATCGTAATCATTTGTTGTAGATGTTTAATCTTACTCGATGACTGTCGTTGGTATACAAGCATCACGAGACGATATATGCTTCGACGACATATAAAGTTTAATATCTATTTATTGTTTCATCGGCACTTTTCTACTTCTATTAACTAAAAAAAGTAAGTTTCCGACCGTCAAAAAAAATCCATATTCGCCTAGCCAAGAAATTGAGTGATTACACGATTGTAAACTACACTATTCAGCATCTAATCGAGCTGAATTGACACATAGCACTGATTAAAGTGAAAAAGTCACTATGACAAAAGAAGTTGAGACTTTTTTTATAAAGAATTTCATATATACCTCGTTTTCAACGAAATTAACCTCATCGTTCCAGACTCTTGTTAAAAGGCGGTCACTATTTGTTGATGCTTCATATCTAATTATGTTTTCCTTGTCATCCGTACGAATTGGTATTGTATGAAGAGTGATTGTATTCGAGTCCATAATGTAATCACAAGTCACAAACCAACGTTTATCACTTAGCCAAAACGGTTGTCGAAATGGAGTGAGAATTGAGTCGAAACTAGGACAAATGTTATTCTTAGTTAAGTATTTGAAGAAAAATTCAAATCGTTTTAAATGAGATAATTGATTAGAAATAAATTGTTCCCAAGCCGAACCGTCAAATAGAGAGTCATCACTTTTTCGAGAAGACACCAATTTGAGATGAACAAGTGATGGTGTGATGGAGAGAAGTGTCATAAGTACTTCGCTCTCCAGATTACATTCATACATCGTGAGAGATGTCAATCGAACGTAGCTGACGTTAGTACAAAATGAAATGACAGATGCATTATCGATGCCGTTGTTCATAATGAGAAATGGCACTATGAATCTTCGTAAGTGAGGTAACTGTGTGAGAATGAAGTGATAGTCATGAAAACTGCAAGTTTTAATCTTCAAATGTTGTACTGTGCATTGAGGTGACCATGATATGCGCTTGATTATATGATCATTATTATTTAAAATTAACTTCCGAACATTAAATTTATTGATAACTGATGAGAGAAGATCTATCGTAGTGCTTTTCCTAATACTAGAACTATTTAAATCGATTGAAATTGAAACCAAGGGACACATTGTGATGTGTTGTAAAACTCGATGTAGTTTATCATCATCAATTATACTAATGGTTAACGAATTCAGGTAAGCAAATAGACGAAGGTCAAATGTCAAAAAAAATGAGTCGATTGATTTGAATGAATGTTCTGGCATATTGACAATATATAGTGAAATGACTCGTTCAGGTCGTACGATACGAGAAATAAGCTCTATGTCGGATTTTGACATTGACTTGAGACGGAATTGAAATCGATTGTAAGTGTTGACAATAGCATGAAACTTTTTGCAAACGCATCGAAGTGAACGAATAGTGGTCTGTATATCGAGATAGTCACAAATGCGATGGAGAATTTCGACAGGTAGAGTGTGAAGAGTCATGTTCAATATTGATGCTTGTATAGTTTCAAGATAATGACTAGTCAATGTCTGGTAATATTAACAACAAAATTGATAATGTTGATGAATTAATAATTCAATAATCTTGTAAAAAAGACAAGAAAATCAATAATAATCTGAAAGTAGTTCATTATTTTTTATAAAGCTCTCATAGACTGGAAAAATCAGTAACCTTTTTTTTCTGTTTGTACTTATTCATTAGGGCACAAGAATAACAATTTTTGTTAAGCAAATGATAATATTACTAGAGTATGTTTTTTTCTTATGAGCTATACTAATAGATAAGACGATTTGATTCTACTCATACAAACAAAACTCACTTGTTTCTAGATTTGAACAAATAGAAGCACAATAAAGTTTGATTCCATTAATTGAATAATTTGTTGAACATCGTGTTCAACATTGTAAAATGCTTGCCGAACTACATAATAGCTTTGGATTTTTTAACAGAGGTTGTTTTATGTTTTCCAGATAAATTAAATCACCAAAATAGATCTTGTTCTACTCAAGTCCAAATCAGTTGATATTCAATGAAAAACTCATTTAAATAAAAGAAAAGGTGCTTATTGCGGTGGTAGGTTTTCAATCAGTGTACTAAGATATTGAGCAAGTCGTGAAAAGTAAAGGACGATCATATAAATTTCCACTATGTATAAAAAACGTGCTGAAATCTTCTTTTTTTTTTATATAGCTAACGGTATTTTTTATATGGTCAATCGTGCTCGTTGTCAATTAATCGTTATCACCGATAAAATGAATAGATTTATGATACAAATATTTCGTAAAAAATCAATTGAAGTAGATTTACAAAAATATATTCCCGATCTAGAAGTGTCTACAACGTTTAAAAATCATCATAAACAAGTCTGAGTTAGTCAATATTTGATGTGATATATTGGATAAGGGCATAAGAAAAAATAAATAAATGACAAGAATAGAAATACCTGTACTAATTGTCATGATGTCCGGAGAACTACAATAGAGACACCTTGTTTTTCAAGAAAAGTCAATAAGTGCTAATAAAAACATCGAGAAAAAGTATCATGACACTATGGTTGCGATGACGGTAGTAAGCGAATAGAAATTTCGTAAAACTTAAACATAGATGAAAAAAGTCGAAGAGACCAGATGAAGCTGTCAGTAAATAATCTGATATTGACAGGCAATTGCCAACATCATTCTTATACAATTGAGAATTACCAACTATTCCACTCAATATGAGTCATTTTTCATAATTGTTTTGACGCAAACATAGAGAATGGGAAAAAAATGCATCATTTGAAATATTTTGTCAAAGTTTCTTTGCAAGCAAGCAAGTACAACTTGAGTTTATTTCATCATTATCTTTCCTGTAGATTACACAACCTCCATGACAAATATCGTCATGCAGTAATTGCATAATATTTTCGTTCTGAAATCATTGGTTGACGATGAAAAAAGATTGAAACTATATTGAATGTGAAGAAAAGCAAATGCGTGTATTAACATTTACTTGTATGAAGTCACAACATAAGTTATGTCTGCACATCATCGAGATACGAAACAAAAGATAATTTCAGATCCTTTCGTGAATAAAAAAAAATTTAAATAAAAGCATAAATGCATTGTTTTATTTGTCAGATGACGATTATTTGGGAAGCCAATCCCTCATGATAGATGATATCAAGACAGTAACACTGACTACACAGCTGCCTTTTATTAATAAATCATTCGACATTTTTTATTAAAGCAAGCGAGCAATTAAAAATATGAATCCATAAAAAAAAACATGAAAGGATGGAGACAATGAGGGATCTCCGAGATCGTCAATTGATAGACTGGTTTTGTTTCAAAGTTTATTAAAACAATTGATAATAACATCGATATTCATACATTTGTCATAGTGAATTTATGGTACCTTCTCTCGGCTTCGTCTACTGTTCTTCTATAGTTAACAGCTCACTAGCGTCTTCTGGGTTCTCATTGTCACAGAACTTATTACATCATTGAAAGTGCACAAGAAGCATTTGGTACCCATGAATTGATAATCAAGAAAGTTGTTATAGATGTCTCATATGAAAATGAAACGAATGCAATCATTAGAATGTTTATTTTTAGTTAAATAATTGGCAAGTAACTTTTATTAATCGAAACGAAAAATATATTATAGCTCTACATCCACTTGAATTTTCTTTAAGACTTCGTACTTCTACTACATCATCTGATAATGTTGAAAAACTTGCAACAATGGAAATAATATAGCGCATGAACGATTCATGCATATTGTACTAGTCATTATCATGTGTCATATAATGACTCATGCTAGTCTATTCTAGTTAGACCAATCTCGGTTGAGAGAAAAAATAACCGATTTCAGCTATGGCTTGTAACTCTCTCTTTATGGATTAAACCGTTTCATAGATAGAGTAGAAATCAAATCCTCTTCTTTCTTTTTTGCGACAATTAAATGGTGGACAAACAAGTTCTCTCTGGTTCTCTTGAAAAAGTCATGATGTTGCAAGCTCTATGTTTATAATTGTTAATAAGACAGAATGAAGTTCGACGTTAAAGAATCGACAGAATGTGGTGGAATAAACTTTTACATAAAATCGAATGTTGTTTGGTATCCAACGAAGAAATGGTTTTTAAAATCCTAATAGCGATGATTATCTCGTTTATAATCATCAGAGTAGATTATTCTTGCATCACAACTCTTGATGACAATCTGTTTGTACAAGATACTGTTTGAGTTTTTGTCAAGTGTATCCATTATAATATAAAAAGCAGTACGTGTATGTATTTACTTGCATCAAAGATGAACATGCTTCAGGTATTTCAAAATTTAAACCGAGCCAGAACCAAATCAAAAAATAATTTGTTTTAAATTCTATTAGAGATAGTCAAAGCTGGTAATTTTGAATTCAACTTGTTCGTCTTCCGAATGATTGCCATCTAAGATCCTACCGCTAATATAAAAAAGACTATTTTTATCAAAATATTCTACTATAGTACAGAATCTTTCGAAGAACCGATGTATTAGATACAATAAAAGGCTCTCTCTTAATTACTAAGGAAATTTTAATTTTAATCAATATATTTAACAGGAAATATGTCTAGTAGTCAAGATTCTTACACGAAAATTAATGAAGGCTGAAGCTAAAATGATTTATACACTTTTTTAATCCTAGAAAATCTTTTTAAATGCTTGCAACTGTCGTAGTTTTCTTGGGAACCCTTTTGATCATTAGCATTTGAAAAAAAAAACAATAAATCTAACAGCAATCTGTTTTCAAACATTTATTCGGTTGCACATAATATTATACGTAGAGAGAGTTTATTATATGCATATATAAAGAAATCCAATTTTTTTTTCACTTATTATGTATTTTTACTTTATTCACGTTAATAAAGAACAAATATGAATATGGTATTAACTGTGATTTAAACGGTCATTAAGTAAATACTTTTCTCTCTAAAAAAAAATATAATTGATTTGCTAATATTCTGTTTTTTCTTGGGCGAAGAAAGACAAAAAAACATATGAATACGTGCATCGTTACTTTATGAGATCTTCTTTTGCTTTACATATTGAAATATTAATCTAAACTGCATCAATTCAGCTAAGAATTGAAACCGAGATTGGTCCGAAAACCTAGGAACCATACTGATTGGTTAGGTTTATGAGTCAAGCCGTGTCTGAATGAGGCTCGAATGTAATGTTCGTATTATGAAATACGAATTTAGTCATACAAAGATCTGTACGATAGCTATCGTGGTGTTGTAGTATAATGGCTATATCCTCGCTTCGCACTCGAGAGATCAGGGTTCGATTCCCTGCTGCGCCACAATAGTTGTTTTTTCATTTGTCGTAATTTATCTTACACATGAAATGTTTCTTATTTCGTCATTTTGAGCGAGAGAACAAGAAGAAAGTTACCGGAGAAGTACAGAGACAAAAATCACTAATCTTTGGGTTTTGTTATCACCTTGATGAATTGAAACACATTGTTCGATTTTTATGATTGGTATTAGTAGTAGATTACGAAATAAGTTGTCCAAAGACTATGAGAAACACGTTCTTTTTCTCCTTCGTTTTTTAAAATGTTCTTAGCGTTTTTGTATTAACATTTCTCTTGACAATCTAAACAGAACAAGTTAACATCATACACACAGTACAACGTACTTTGTTATGAATTAGGAAGATGAATGTTTTTTCAAAAATACTTTCAATTAGGATGAATCGTAAATTAATTAACAACAGGATTAGTATATTTAATAGATTGACTTGTCTACATATAAGAGAAGTGATGCTCTATTTAAATGATAACCAAATAAATGATTCAACAAATTGAAATAACTAAAACATGATTGTCGACTATTCTTTTGCTTATGTATACATCATCCACTGTTAGCTTTTATTGTTGCTATTTGTAGAAAAAAAGATTGTATTCTTTCCCTAATTATTTCTATTTGTAAATAAAGATTTCATGGTACGTTAGTGATATAGGAATAGATGGAAAACGTTATTTCAGAGTCGTTGTCTGCAACCAAATTATTTATGTCTATTCATCGGTTGCATCTTCTATATCAACAAAAATGAATGCGTCAATCGTTTAAAATAAAAATGCCTATCTTTGTTCATTTTTATTTCCGTTCTGTTTTTTTCTAAGGAGGAAAAAAGCCAACATCGTACCTCAGAATTATGAAGAAGTAGCGAGAAGTACATAAATACGTGTTTTACCCATTTGGTTTTTTCGAATGTCATAATCTCGTCTATACGACATGAACTGATTCATTTCAATAGTGATGAATTAATTATTCATTAGAGAATTTATAGTGGAAATCTAAAAATAAAAAGATCGTTTCTATCTGATTTGTTTTCATTTAATAAAGAATATCTTCTTCAAATCGAATTAGACAAAAATCAAATTGATGACAATTCAAAGAATATGTTTCGAATATACCTTCATCATTCTTCAAATGAGAACTTGCTGGATACATTCGATCTTATGAAATTACAAAAAATTGTTGTTCTTCATGTACAAGTATGATTTAAATTACCTACCAATATTCAATTTCATTTGCATGAATGTCTTCCTTACCATTATGGGCTATTTTATATTCCTACATTAAAATGTGTTACTTGACAAGTTGATAATTGTTTTATTCGAAGTACCTTGTTCAAGACTCAATAGTTCAGTAAATATACAGATAATTGAAGAAATTTATGATTGAAATGTCACTGATTCCAACATGAAAATTATAACTAAATGTAGTATTATGCTTGAATATGTGTATGATTGTCGACATATGTCGCTTATCTCATTCGAAAATCTTATGAAACTCTTAGTTCATTTGTCTGCCAAGGCAAACATATGATTTATTTTATCAAACAAACTCATTATTCTCCCTGAAATGATCTCTATATGGACAAATCTATTATGATTATGTTTTTATATTTCCTTAAAAACGAGATAGACAATAGAGAATGACACAAGGAGATGCATGAAGAACATATTCATTCATTCATTACAAAAATTGACACTTGATGAAATAATTTCCATAGTTTAATTCGGCTTACGTTGCAAAAAACAAAACTTTATACTCATAGTTTCTTTTTTCAAAATTTAATCAACAAAAGCTACCTGAACACATGTGAGAACAGCCGTAATTAAAACTTTTAGATAGCCTACTCGGGCTTTTTTTTTGCACCAATGATACAATAGCTATTGTAAAAACGATCGATATTTCTTGCAAAAAACCAATTCGGTTATAGAAAAATCATCATACTTTTTTCACAAAAACAATCATATTAGATTTATGATAGATCTCAGCACATTTTCAGATATACTTGTGTGCAATGCTTTCTAATAGTCTACATGTGATATCAAAAGATATATTCACTTTTTTTACAAAGAAAATCACAAAGAAAAAGATTGAAATCAATCGAATGTTTTTGTTAGAGTTATCTTTACTTTTTATTAAATATTAAGTGTTTATAATCACATAAGAAAAGAATCAAGATTCTTGATTATAATTGTGTAAAAGACAAGTTAACACATCTCGATTATGTTTTAAGGCAAATATTCTAGAACGTTGTCATCGTCTGCATTGTGCTTGAGATATTCTTTATTGATCAAGTATTCGATCGATTGCTACAAAGAAAAAAATAATCATCATACTTTTTTTTCAAGTTTCAAGTATAAAAACAATATAATACTTCGATGAGGTTAATATCGGTCGTAATTTTGTTATTCAACTGATCAATAACTTCTTGTATGAGACAAGCTTGTGTCAGAGTTTTTCGATTTTTCATTATTCGAACAATTGCCGCCTAATCATACATGTATAAATACGTATATATCGAGACATCTTTAAGAAAAAAAGACAAAACATATCTACCTGAGTAGAAAATTTATAATCACCATCAGGTAATTTTTCTATAGGTTTGATAGTATCTTTGTTTATTGTTTTTAGTGGCTTGTTCAGATTGATACATATTTTATCACTAAAAATCGAATCAATGAAGCAAACGATGATGTAGAAAACTGTGTTTATCTCATTAAATACCTCGTGAAATCATCATTTAATCGAATAATATGTTCCATTTGGAGATTTGTCTCTCGTAAATCCTCTTTATTGATTTGTAAACACGTTAATACATCACTTGTAATCAGAATATATAAAACTTCTATCAAGATATCAGTTCTAATACGTGTCTTCTTGCAGATTTGTTGAATTGTCCATTCTAATGAATCATTATACAAAAGAAGGATAGCTATTTCATAAACTGATGCCTGAATGCAAAATTAAGTATGGAGTTTGAAAAAAGATCAAAAACGATTTGGTCTTACTTGAAGTATATATGTCGATCTAGTAAAATAGGCATGTAATTCACCACGTGAATATTGATAGAGCCATATGAGTTTTTGTTTGCTATGTCGATGATAGTAGAATTGAATGAAATTATCAACTGAAGACGAGAGCTAAATAGAGAAGAACAGAAACAGAATGCAAAGAATAAATATGATAATATTGCTTACTCCAAGTGGTAGATCGAAGTCGGACACAATAGAAAAAGGCCATAAATTTGTGGCAAGTACCATGATTGACAAATCGACTGAAACGATATTTTTTGGAGAAAATGTATAAGATTTGCACAAGACATTTTCTTTTTCTCGCATACCATAACATATCGATTGTTGACTTTTACAATGTTGTTGATATTCTTCCATCAATTTTTCTTTCGAATTAAAATTTTCAATCATCTTTTGTAATTTTGATGTATAAATCTGAGCACACTTTTTCTAAAAATAGAAAGTCAACTAATTTAGAATAATTGTCAGACTAGATTAGATATTCTTACTTGGAGTTCTGTAATCATCATCTGTTCGTAATCAATTGAAACGCTTCGTTCATAGACCAATCGTTCAGCTAATAGTCGCCAATAGAAATTTTGAAATGCATCTTCATTTTCGATATACTTGAAAACTATCTACCAAGACATTCAAAAAAATTGTATGAGCTTAGATAGAGAAAAGAAAATATCGAACATACCATGATATCTTTTATACACTCTTCGATATTCCTATTGTCTACATCGTTACTACAAATTTGTACATAGAATAATGATCTAAGTGTTGTTTTTTAATTATAAGCATACTTAATTTGAAGGATTATATTGGTGAATAAAGCCAATAGTTCAGACGACTTTGTGCTACTGTTAGCTGCGATGGTTACTGCATTTCTATTTACGACTTTACTGAGAGCCTAGAAAGAATTTATTCATAATAGGAACTAAAGCAAAATACGTATACATGCATGATCAAGAGCTAAAATAAAGCCATTGATGTCGACTCCGAAACACTCTTTGAGAAGAGTCATATATTTCTTGTAAACGCCAAGAATTGTGTTAATATAGACTGTAGGATCCTGATTCAATATCAATTCAATTATAAATAAATAAATAAATATATTTACATATATGTGTATAATAAGAGTGATTCTAATGCACTTACATTGACTGCAATTTCACTGATACTTTGAATCATTTGTATTCCCATCCGATAGATATGATGTTCGAAAGTTTTCTTAAGCTGATCGATGGCATTTGGTACTCGGCTGACCAGTTTATAGAGTAGAACCAAGTCTATTTAGTCAAAACTCAATGCAAGATTTTCTTCATTTCAACAGAATGTATCTAAGATGAGTTTACTACACTATATTTTTTTCCTTCGGTGAATAAGTAACCGTCGTACTATACTCAATGCGTAGTTTCTCTATATTTCAGATTCAGAAAAGCCTATAATGATAAGATTCTACTAAAAAATAGAGTTACTAAATATGTTAGAAAAGTGCTTGATTTGATTCCGTTTGTTTGTTCTATTGATCATGATCAAGATGGATGTGCCGAATGTGAATAGTAAACGTTTGTGTCATTCAATCAAATTGTTTCACAGTATTCAAGAACATTTATAACGGCCTGACTCAGCTATTGTCAGTTAAATGATAAATAGAAATTCTTTTATTTTTCTACTGCTGAAAATTGTTTAACTAAACATGAAAATTAAAGCAAAATCAAAAGATCACATATTTAAACCCGTGAGATATGTAAATTAAACAATATATATAATATCATAGTATCATATTTTCAAGTTTGATTTCGATATTACATGAATGTTTTCATTAGACCAAGGTTCAAATTATGATAAAATGTGCTTAAGTAAAAATGAAAAATTCCTTTTATAAGTTGCATTCCACTAAATAAACAGCGAAATCAACTAAGATGAAGAATATTTTATATAAAAGTAGGAAATTTTCAAGTTTCATAATCTTAACTTTTAGTCTCAGTGTGAACATTTTTACTATTCAGCTTTATATCCACTATTTAACTGACAAGTTTTTTGCGTGCAAAACACTATATTATAATATACTGCTAGCAACATTAATCTGCTTGAACACTAATGCATGGATCGGATATGTAAGAGAGTGAATAATCGAAACATGCTCACCTTGAGTTCTGCAGTTGCTCAACAGAAACTCAGCTCCATCAAATATACGGTCAAGTTTATCGCGAATGAGTACATTATCAAGGATTTTAAGGATTGGTTGCAATGTAGATGAATGTAGATAAGATTTAATACGATTCTCTTCGTCAACAAGACATTGAGCTACCTAGCAGAGAAAGAACGGACGATTTGAGAATACTTGTTCAGCACGAAAATTACACTCACCCATTCAAGATATTCATTGATTAGATTTTCATTTATAAAAGTCGCAGCTTCACGTTGATAGAATTCTGTACTATCTTGAAGAAATGGATCTTCGAAATATTCTTTATATATGTCCAGTATTTCTGATATTGTTAATTCGCTTCTCTTGAGTTCTACCTCCTTTAATTTGTAACCAAGAGTGACTAAACAAGTGAGATAAACGCAAATAAGCACGAGACATTGATTAAAACATAGAATTAATGTTCGTTTCAATTTACCGAAATTCTGAATCACAATTTTGATGGGTTGATTATCAATTATTTCTTTTTTACGTTCGGCTTGAATTCGATTGAGACAAGTTCGCATCATTTTTTCGCTGAATTTCACGAAAATTAACTCTTTCCATTTCAATATTGACAACTGAAAAGACGTTAGAGCTATGCAATATTAGAGAAATACTTGATCATAACCCACAGTGAATATATCATCGATATGTTTTGTATTGTCTGCTGATATCCAATAATTATTAATATAACCACAAAAGCCATTGATTATTTTGCTTGAACATTGATATCGTTCCCAATAATCTGTATAGAATTGAATTAGATCTTCGTCATGACTAGTGATGCAAGTCTAGAATGGTATTATGAAAAATATTTATTCGTTATTTATTTTTCAGTTCGATCAAAACACTCATCAAAACAAACTATTTTATTCAATAAGACGATGATAACCTACTTGATGAAGTTTGAGAAGATAAGCTTCGAAATGAGATTCGATTTGTCTGTATAATTTATCTCCGCAAACATGTCCCAACGCATCATTCCTTACGATGAATGGTTCATTATCCTGGCTTGAACATGTTCGGAACTCTTTAATGTTTGAGCAGTAGTCATGTATGAGACTTTTAAGTGAAGATAAGCGAGAAAAAAAATAATTCAACCATACTGCATTAAAAAGAAAAAGATTACATACTTAAACAAATGCATAAACGTATTATATGAAATTCTTTGAAATTCACGAGCCTGATCGATGCCTCGCGCTATTTCGGTCCATGTTTGATCATCCATCCACTGTTCATGAGTTTCTGTCATTGGCATTGTATTTCCTATAAGAAGCAGCAAATGACTGAGTTTATCTTAGATGATCAAATGACACTCCTGACATATGTCTTGCAAAAAAAACCGCATTTGTCCAAAGAAAGAGACCTTAATGCGTCAATGATTGTAAAACGAAAATGTAATCGAAAAACAATAAGTAGAAAGAAAGCAAATGTCAATAGAGTCAAAGGATGATAATTTAATGAAAAAAATATGCATGAGTCACCTAGGTAAGAAGTCATGAGCAATATTCTTGCATTGCATGATGACATTCATCGTCTGAATGCAAATTGTGCAATACTGAGTCATCTATTTGTTTGCATTGACAAAGATTTTTTTCAGTTCTTTTAAGTAATTTCTCTCCGTCATTATTTGCATAGCTATCAGAGAATAGTCAAGATTTTATTCGTCTCACTTTCTCTTCCTATCGGTTATCTTCTCTGTATTCTCTGCATCTGAAATTAGGTCGAGCAATTATAACTTCATCGAGATTTTTTTACAATCAGAACGCTGCGATTGACGAAGCCTACTGAGTACAGGTGTATCTTTTTAGTTTTCCTTTTAAGAAATCTCGAAACACCATGCATTTCAGAGAGTATAATAGGCGCCGGTTATTGAATTTCTTAGACACTAGAAACACAAAGGGCAAGCCGATAAGAAAGTCGATAACTTCTCTGTGTTTCTATTTGTTTCTGCCTTTTCAGAATTTACGGAAACACGGAAACATTTACAAAACATGGATAAAAAAATGCAGATTTATCTTCTTGGTGGTTATTCCATGGCTCTAGTTTTCATTTTACTCAGATCTTAGTTTGCTTTGTATTCTCTAAAATACATCGCAAGTAGTCTGAAACGAAGTTTTGGGTACGACTGACACTTCGGAATGGTATCCACATAGTTTCGATATAGGTTTCTGTTTCTAGAAAACAAAAGCACGAGACTTGTAGACATGTACATATCTAATCAACATTATTTATTGGTCATACTTGCTTTTCTTTTTCTTTTCCTTATTATAAGCTGTGCTTGTCCTTTGCTTTTCTATATTCATTGCTTCGCTCTTCCGTTTCCTATCTGGCACATATATTCGTACACAATCATTTAAAACTAGCAGTAGAACAGTACATTTTTTTGGTCAATACATGAAAGTGAAATCTATGAACGATATAAAAGTAGTTCATTCCTTTGTTGTTTGATTTTTGCCGAACAGAAACATGTCAAATACGATCTTGGAAGAATAGATCCATTGATATAAAGTACAAATCCGACCATATAAAAGAGTATGGCCGAGCATATTTTCTCGATAATCTTGAAACATTTTTCGCTCATTCAATCCACCGTAGCAACCTTCAGTCGCATATCCGACCTAAGTACAGATCTATAAATGTCTAATACGTGTCAATGTCAATTCAAACATGCATAGATGCTTAATAACACGAATATTCTGTGTCAAATATACAGAAACTGAAAAAAGCTGAAGCAAACATTGCACTTCTTCTAAAGAGCTTCGAAAGGAATATTTTTGAGTGTGTCAGCAGAGATTTTTTCGTCCAACTCTGAAATTGCCTTTTTCTCTGTTATCCAAAAATGTTAAAACGGCCACCACGAAATCGATACCGTGAGAAATATTCACTTACTCTTATGCCAACATCGTGAAACTTGTCTAGTTCACCGTGAAAAGTTAAACAAGTATTCTCATATGTTACTGAGTATTGAAATAGTGAGTTTCAAATATAATATTTTCGTGGAAAGTGCTCACAGAATTATGATTTGACAACTGATCTGATCTTAGAAAAAAGAAGGTTTTAGTGAAGAGATATTTCTTATTCAACATTTCATATAATGTATCTTATTGATTTAATTCGAATCAAGATTTTTACGGGTGTTTTCATTTCAACTCTACGACATACAAAAATTCTAGCGATCAATTTGAAATAAGTGAAAACACAGTACGCTTGGTACGCTGCTAAATCATGGTTTTTACAAAATTTCCATACCTTATAAGAAATAAGTCAGTAATGGATATAGTATAGTTTACCGAGAAATAAATACGAACATATTGAAAAACGTACGCGCAGTTGAAGATCAATTCACACATCATACTTAGAATTTGACCAACCGATCTGCCGGTTACCGGTCTGGTCCGATTGAACTTTAAAAATCGGCCGGTGTTGTTATTGATTTTTTGGGTACCAAGCTGGATTATCTTGCTGATGTTTAACGATTTCTGTGGTTTTAATGATCAAGAGATATGAGTTTGGAAGTTTCAATTGACAAATTTTCAATCATTGTCAAAATTCCAGCTCTAAATATTGGGCTAACACTTTCTCACAATACGATGAGAGTGTCTGATCATGTTCAATGAATTCAATATGTTTTCGAAAAGTTAGCCAGATATTAGAAGTTAATTTCGGTCTAAACTTATGACTTTTCACCTCGAAATTTCAAACGTACTTTTCTAGACTACTTTTAACAGACATCTTTAAAATCCCAATCCCTAGTAGTTTTCATTTCATGTTTTCATTACAAAAATATCAGAAAAATTCCGTTCTTCTGTCAAGATCTTGTCAAATATTAGCATCATGCAATCATGAAAATATTTAGATATTAAGAAATCTTAAAATCGACAGGCTAATATAAAAATCGTATGTTTTAGCTCACCTTACCTTTCTGTCAGCAATAGTATTCTTTTATACATTGGGATATCTTTCAGCTGTGTTAAATAATTATTTCATATAAGAATAGATCAAACCTATCAATCCGTGTAAAAAAATCATAACACTATTGAGAAAAGTCAGCCAATGTATAGTATATATGTTGTTCAATATTAGTTGCTGTGAGTTACTAGATGGAACCTTTTTTGAAAAAACCTTCGTTCGTTCTTAATGTTAGCACATATGAAATATGATAGACTAAAATAGGAGTTGTTGCTATTAGAAATTCCAAGTTTTATGTCAGTTTGGCATTGTATGTCCTCATAGAACTGAAGTCATATACTGTTTCTCGGAAGAATTAATTGCTTAATTGATGTATCACAGGCACCGATCTTTCGCCGGTTATGTCAACCATATTAACCGGCTGATACGGTCCGCTAGCAGAAAGTTTGATCGATTTCAAGTATGGTGTCAGCGAAGTAAAAATACATACCCACACGGCCATCCGCACACATACCCGCACAACTATTCATATCAACATCCAGGTATTTGGACACGTTACAAGTCTTCTGTTTTTCTTAAGCACCTTTCTTGGAATTTTTCTGTTAAACTGATTTTCAGAATATTTTAAAAAGGTATCTTTCCAGAGTTCTACGGCGTGTTATTTACGAATGAACTAAGTGGATCGAAACTTATCAGTTGCTTAGATAGTAGCAAATACCAGAATAATTTGCTGAGCAGCACTATCATTAACTATGGCATTTTTACAAGTGATGAACATTTCTGTATTTGAATCAGTCATCTGCTAGTTGATTATATTTCAAACAAAGTGGTATTTCCTAGCTAACTTTTCCATTATCATTAACTATTGCTACGATTTTCACCAAGTAGATCTTTTTTTACATGTTTGTTCACAGCAATATAAACATTGCTATAATTGCTGATGCCATTGGTGTTAAAAATTAACCTTTTTCCTCTTTCTTTTTACATTGTACGCATAAGAATGATCTGTTTTTCAAAAAACTATAAGTCCTGAGAGAGACTCTATTTTTTGTTCGTTGTTCATAACATGTGTGTTTCGCATTATTTTCTGAGAGGTGCTCGAAACATTCGATAACTCCCTTTTTACTGGGGTTCGATGCTTTTAAATAGCACGAGGGTGTGAGGGTGAATGTAGGTCTGGGATTTGTATGGTGTTGATGAAGCGAAGACACATCCACATCTACAAACAAGTACGCCTTCGATTTATTTGAATTTCAATACAATTTTCGTCTGCACAACATTATATGTATATATTCATATTCTGAAGGTGAATCAAAGTGAGTATAATTTTAAGTATCATATGGTTTGTTTTTGTCGCGACTATGCATATGGATTAAACAAGAGTTCAATTTGAAAAGCCGCAATCGACACGCGGCGTAGCATGTGCAAAGTCAAGTTTTTCATTATAAATTTCCACACTTCTCTCGACGGGTTTGTACTTGATATTATCCATTGAGTTGATTTTCGGTTGAGCTTTCCAATTTAATTTTTCTTGTTGAATGCTAACATGTGGCACTGGAGGTGTCCAATTAATATTCGATAATGAATTAACTCTTGATGATGCTTGCCATTTTGTAGATTCCTGTGGCAATGTAACTTGACCACCGGTTGGTCGATACTTAACATTACTCATTGAGTCCACTTTCGATGTAACATTTCTTATTGGCACGCTTTGATTATAAATTTCTACGGCATTGCGTTTCGGTGACCACCAAAGTTGCCGAGGCTACAGAAAGAAAAACAACAGCAAAAAAAGAGTTTTCTGTAAACATTGATTTGAAAAATATTACTATTTGAGTGCTCTCGGTCGAACTTGTTCGGCTTGATAGACCTGGTGCATCTTTGGAGGGAGGTGAGACTCTTCTGTTGAGTCCTTTCTTCATTGTCGTCGATGAGTTCATAGTTTTGATGATAGTAATATTGACTAAGATACTACGTTTGGTTAGAGCAAAGGTGGGCGATGTCAAGTTAGTTGATATAGGATACAGAAATAAAGCTTCTGAAGGCGATTACAAAAGGAACTAGATGCTTAAATTTTCTCGTACTTATATACTCGTTGTGGTAAACATTGCATAAGCAAAATCGGTCTTTTTTTTTGCATGATTTTGCTTGTTAAGAAGGCATGCTTTCTTTTCCGTTTCTTATATTTTCAGCTTGATTAATCGTTACAATAAAGCAACGTTAGAAGCGTTCTCCGTGTTCAAGTAAATGCGTTAATGCCGTCTTAACAAGCTCATTAGTATTTCTGTTGTTTATGCACGAAAACACAGTCACACACTCATTGTTAGTAATTTTCTTTTCAACATATGCATTGTGAATTTGTTGCTATACCTATGTTCAACAATATGATATTTTGATTGTATGTACTGTATTCTGCGTAATTGATGTCTAAGCTGTTTTCATTCTCCTGTTCGGTTTACGGGAACTTTAGAATAGTTTAAAAAAAAGAAATTTTCAGCATGTTTACTATGGAATTATAATACTGAATACAATTGAGCTGCTTTAATTGTAAGACTGAAATGCTTCAATATTAGATGCTCCACAAATCGTACTTGATATAAAAAATGATTACATAGAATTTTTCTATCAGAAGGTATCAAATACGCAAATCACATTTGTAATCAGACTCTAACTTCAGAGCGAAATGTTTTTTTTCTTAAGGTTTATCTTCCACTGAGAAAACGCAATTTTCGTTAAAAAAAATCTTACATCGAGATTTTAACATAGTTAGATATACCACATTGTTTATTTGGGAACATATATTTTATGACGAGTTTTGAAGACTTTTACAAATGTGTGGATGAAAGTCGGTGTGTAGGTTAGGATGTCGGTGAGGATACACAAAAGATCATCACTCACGCTAACACTCATTACCACACATCTATGACGAATTGTGCGGTCACCAAATAAATTCAGTTTTTATCTGTGAAAACAGCCGTTAAGTCAAGATGATTGATCTTTCGAAATTTGTCACTCCAAAGATGAGGATATGAACGTAATCAACCACTTGTTGCTTATGCTATTAGTATTGATCGCAATAATGAACGATATCATTCATCTAGTTGATGAACATTATTGGAAATTGTTGCTGATGCTACTATAAGATTGACAATGTTGAGAGCTTGATGTTTTTTACCTAGGTACCGTATAAAAATTAAAAATTTACTCTTCGATAGACACGAATCAAATTGAACTCACTAAGATTCAAAGTTGTTTATAAGATATTTTTCAATCATACGTCTTCAACAATGTTGAATGGACGAATACATAGACAGATCCATGCTGTTAATTCATCTTTCATTTTGTGAAATCTTCAGAATTTAATGCAAATATGTCCTTTGTTTTTTTATTTGATTAATTTGTCTATAGCTCTTTTGGGATAATGTTTTCATAATGATGGCACTTTTGGACAAACCTGGTACAATAGGTATTTCGTACTACCACTCCCATCTCGTTGAAATGTATACGTTGTCTTATATTAAAAGCAACTGGCAAAACCATCTATGCGTTAATACATATAATCTTCAGTTAGTTTAGCAGCAAATCCGAAAATTCACTAAATATTAGATGAAGTTTTCTTTTTAACTATTTTCAATTGATGACGTTATAAACTACTGATATAGTCATGAACGAGAGGGAGTAGCATTAATAGAGACCAACGATGGGATCAGTTGGTATTTTTTCCGAACCGAACGTAACCGACCGGATTTGAAAACATTTTCTAACCGAATCGACCGAACCGAGTTTATGGAAAGCGAAGTCTACCTTACATCAACTAGGGTATTAGTATTTTATATATTAGGAACAACCAATGGAACAATAGCAACAACGAACAATGAACATTTAGAGAAAGCAAAGAATGAAGATTATTTATCGAATACTCATACTGTATTATAACTTGCTCACCTCTTGAAACAAACCAAATAAAATGTGAGATAATATCTGATTTATGAGCGACAGCTAATTGTTGTACGATTACACTCTGTTTTCTTGTTATGTCTGACCAAAAAAATCCATCGAACTCAAATTAAAAAATTATATCGCTTCGTTCTAACCGAACCAAACCCATTTCTGATAGAGATGGAAGACGAAAGATCAATATAATTCATTTCGCAAGAAAAGACAGTCGAAGAGTTTGAACTAAAGTATAAAAAACAAAAAAGAAAAAGAAAACGTGACAATAAACGAGAACAGAAGTAAGTAGATAGGTAATACGATCTAAACTGTTCATTAGTCATGATTTCGATCAATCATAATAAATAGAGAATATTATTCATCGTTAACGACATATATACTCTACTGCATCCGTTCGCTAGCGATATCTGTAATGCCTGAAATAGAACTTAGATATAAAGTAAAAAACAACACAAGTAGATGGCTAGTCTGCATCAAGCGATGTGACTGACCCCTTCGAGGCTCTGGCATGAGGATTGTCCGGATGAGGAGAAGATCCGCACCCTCAGCCAAAATTCTTCTTCCATTTAGATAGAATCTCTATGATTCTTTATTATATATTGCGGAGTTAGTGTGATTTTGTATTCATAGAAAGAACAGTCTCGTCATTTCTCTAATGTAATTTTGAAATTTGCGTCATAACCTTTCTCAATGATGAAATATCTGAAATTGCTAATTTTGTAAGTCTGCCTAACTGTGATGCAAATTCAATCTGCTGAGAAATCTTAAAATACTCAATGAACACATTTCACTGTGAGATTATTCACATTTCATAAATCAGCTTCAGCTCTGCATCGACACCACAGATTGTCCGATGCGCTGTTGATTAATGTGCGTGTCCTTGCCACAATGTTTCGTCTCTTGAGAACAGCATGAGTTTGCTAAGACAACCACACTCAATGCGATTCGTCAGAAAAAAATATAAATGCAAGAATTCATTTCAACGAAGCTCTAGTAACTTTTTTTCTTATTATAAACCAATTTTTGTATGTTTATATTTCTCTCGTTCCCAGTCATGCAATGCATTTACTTTTTTCCTTCTTCTTACGACACACTAAAACAAGTGCAAACATACATCATCACGATAACAACCATTGCTGTGTTTGCATTCGAAGTTTTTCTTCGCTTACAAACAACATGGTGAGACGTTTTGAATAGCGAGTATAGAGACGAACGTGAAAGCTAATATGTGAAAAGCTTAGAATCACTTTTGCCGAACTTACATATATTTTCGAAGAAAATAGAGCTCATAAGTTTTAAGTAGAAGTTTTGTGACTTTTCCCTTCTTCATTACAGACATTAACTATCGGGGACAACACTTGTCGGATTTCTTTCTCAGAATTCCTTAACAACGGAAAAATGCGCTGAACAGCATTAATAAGAAGACTTCGACTGGTCTAGAACATTCCAAAGCTTTCGTTGAATTTTGAATGGCTGCAATATGCTTGTGAATATTCTAAATAGTACAGTTTCTGGTCTATGCATGGATACAAATTTATATTCAAGGTATCAAGGATCAAGGATAACAATGCATCGATTTGGCACAATCGTCATATGATCAACATAAAAAATGTGAATCAATCAAGTTATAACTTTGAATAATAATCAGTATTAGTGTTTCTGAGCTTATCGAGATATATAAAAGTGTGTTGAGACATGCTTCATATATAATGGATATGTATAAAATGCTTATTTGCCAGTTCGATCAATGTTGAGAATAAAAATAATACTATTACATTAAGAAAACAGAATACAAAAAAGAAAAATAACGAGTGAATAGCAACAAGCCAAACAAAAGAATAGAGCGCGTTAGTAAAAGAACAAAAAAATTCTGTTCGCAATACAGAAATAAATAAGATAGATCCTTACTCTGATGATCAATTGTTTGGAAAACAACTGTAATCTACAGGAGATTTTCCACTTTACTGATTTTGTATTAGTATAATGAGGCTAATGAACATACCTGGTGGGCCAAAAGTAAGGAAGCACAGAAAAAATTGAATATCTTCATTACGGCTTGAGCAAACGAGCTAATTTTTTTATCAATGATAGAAGCATGTTCAAGCTTTATATCCACAAAGACATGCCTAACGAGAACGTTTGTTAAGTATCACTATTGATCTTAAGAAAAAAATTTTACTTTTTTACAGATAGGAAATAAAATAATATACTTAACAACAGATCTCTCTAAGCACGTCTTTATGGATATGAAGCTTGAACATGCCTCTTAAATTGATAAAAAAATCAGCTCATTTGCTCAAGCTGTAATGGAGATATTCAATTTTTTTTGTTTCCTTACTTTTGGCCCACCTGATATATCTCGATAAGCTTACAAACACTGATATTGATTGTTTTCCAAAGTTATAACTTGATCGAGTCACGCTTTTTATGTTGATCATATGAGGATTGTGCCAAATCAATGCATCACTACCCACTATCGTTGACATTTAGAACATACATTTTTACCTGTGCAAAAATCAAAAATAGCACTACTTAAAACATCCGCAAACGTATTCTATCCATTCGAATTTCCAGGAAGACTTTGGGACATTCTAGAACCTTCTAAGACTTGTTATTATTGTCGTTCACCGTCTTTTTAGGTTGCTACGGAACTCTGAAAAACTATCAAAACGAACGTCAGATAAAAATAATTATGCAGCACTCGCAAAAAAATTACTAGAAGCTTTATAGACTATAAGAAATACTACACAGAATCGCATTGGCTGGTCGAACATTGAAACAACTTTATAAGTGATAAATATATCATGAATAAAATTTTACTTAATAGATATATAATTAAAAGAAGATTAGTTTTAATCAAAATTATAGTGTTAGCTTCAATATAGATTTGGAGTCGATAAGACATAACTGCATGGGAATCTATATCTAAGCAACAAAGACGTTTGTCAACCGAATAAAAATGTAATGCTTAGTTAAGAGCCAACGC